TAGCGGGTTAATCGCATAATTGAGCAGCCCAGGAGCAGGCGACACACACTCATCAGTGATTCACAGCCAGGCGGGCGAATCGTCTGGGTTGCAACAAAGGAATAACACACCCTGTTCGGGCCTCACAAAGAAATCGCCATGGAACGTGTGAAGCCTGCCGATTATTGTGGATACCGAGGAGGCACGGTGTAGCACGGCCCACAATGCAAATATGCACAACTTATAAATACATCGGATCCGAGAGATTCGAGGCTTCTACTCTGTGTGGGAGCAATTCATTTAACCCGAGGAGTCGGGCCAGCAGCAGCTGGCGAAACTGCAAATTGCAACAAAGAGCGAGGCTGGAGAGAAAATTGGCTGAAAGGTTTTCCATCAGCGGCGCTGCTGAGTCAGGGATCCGCGTCTCTGGATCCAAGCCAATAAATTCATAACCAAGAGGAGTTGGGGCAGCTGATACATATACACTTGCGGTCGGAATAATAGCGTAGCTAATTGAACTTGCCCATCCGTCCATCCAGGTTCTTAATTTCACACCCGGAAGATTTCATTGCATTTAAATGATTACTATGATGGTTTCTTCGAAGTACTCTTGCATGGCTATTTGAAAACAGGGAAGTTAATACGTTTTTGATTAAGTTTCCTTGCTTTAAAAGCTTTTTTTTCAACACAGTACTCACTTCTTTTGCGTATTGTATAACGATTTGTAATATCATTACAACTTGATTAGTATTGCCTAACATGTGTTGTTAAAGCCCTCTCATTAATCACACTGGTAGGTGCTTATTAATAAACCACTCTTACCGCGGAATAGTTGTATCTGCTCTGCTATTTTTATGGCCGCCCCTGTATCCACAAACAGAGGGCGTTGAGAAAACCCATAATGGTAATCGCCCATGTACAACATCAGCCAGAAGGCAGTTGTCTCGACGCAAACAGATCGTTCTGCAAATGGCAAGCTGATGCAGATAGCTATGCAAAACGGGTAATCCAAACGGTCGGCCTTATAAGGCGGCCAATGGTCCAAGCCAACAGGCAACAACGATACATACGCGTTATTACTTAACAACAATTACCGAAAGTGAGCTCGAGTGTCTGGCTTTGTGTGCCCAATTATAGAGGAAATGTTGCCGAAATTGTCACTCGATGATGACTCGACTTCCTTGACGCAGATAGAAGATACAAAGATACAAAGAAACCCAGCTGTCTGCTCAGTGGAGCGTTTAGCATTGGCCCCGCAGACAGCCTTGAGATCCGCTTGTGAGGCAGTCAATCCAATGGGGTTTATGTACTGGAACTATGGCCAAATAAGGACACCGCACTGACGTAAACATGGACTTACCTGCAAATAGATAGAGAGAGAGCAAACAAAAAGTCAGTTAGATAGGGCTAGAGTTCCTGTTTTCCATTAATCATTCATCAATTGGGTTGCGCCTTTAGGTCATGACTCACGGCTGAAAAATGAAGATCTCTCCCGTTTACAGGAAACGTGACTCGCTAGGGCTTCCCTAATTTACACAAAAACCATTTATCTGCCAGCCAGGCCCACCTGACCATCAAGAAATGCATTTGGAAAGCGGCCGGGAAATGGAACTGCGGCAGATACCGAGGACATGACAGATATGTCCTACTATGGCCTCTGCTGTCGGGGTTGCTTATCGTGGGTTGCATGCGTCAGTGACAGACTAAACTCTAAAACTCCTCCTCAAAACTACACTCGAAAAATTGTTATGCCAAAGACAACCATTAATATACCAAAAGGATAAAATCATTGTAGGTAACAGTATTGTTATTTTATAACCTTACAAATTCCTGAAGTTTAGGATCTTTTTGAAATTTCATCAATCTATAGATTGTTCTAGAAACATTTTATAACGATAAAATAGATTAAACAAAATAAATATTTGTAAAGTGTAGATCTAGAACTTTTCCTATGTCGGATTACTGTGTGGGCACATCTGTCTGCTTTGTCAAAAAATTTTGGGCCAAAAACAACTGTTATAAACAGATTTATAAGAATTAAACTATTTATGATTTACAATATTTAGTTTTTGATTTTGTTCTAGTATTATTTAGTTAATTCGATAAGTTAGAGGCCTTTTTAGTTTTTATTTAATTATTACTTAAAAATTTTCGAAAATGCATCAGAAATTCTTAAACAAGAACTTTGCTAAGTGTAGATCTAGCACTTTTCCTATGTCGGATTAATGTGGGCCCGTCTGTATGCATTTTGGGTGCGGCTAGGCTGGCTAGGTTGGCTAGGTTGGATAGGCTGACTAGGCTGGCTGGCTGGCTGCATTCTCCGGCTGTGCGGCTTTCTCTGGAGGTTCTGCCGGGAATTAGACCCATTGACTCATTCTAGGGCTGCGCCCAATCCCAATCCCGAACACAAACCCAAACCCAAACCCACTACTGCTGGCCAAACTAGTCGCGGCTAGGCAATCAAAATCGACATTTAGTTTTATGGCGAGTCAAACAACAACATGCAATGTGTCCCGGGTTCAATGCACTTGCCACTCAGCCTCAAACTCCGCTGCAGTGGCTCTTGGCCAGATACACAGGGGGCATGGCAGAGAGCATACTAGCAGATCGCGTGACTATAGTTAAATATAGTTAAGCACCAGAAGTATGGCACGTGACGATATTGGGGCCGAAAGTATCCCCCACATATTGTGGAAATGGGATATACCGGGAAAACTACTGTGCCCTTAATCACTGGCCACCACTGTGGCGGGGAAACGAAGAAGAAACGAGAACGCCATCGATTTCAATTGCAATTACTCATCATCTAACGCGGCAATTACCCCTATTATGATGATAAGTGCGAACCGAAACAGCTGCAAGCAGATTTGCGAGTGACTCAAGGAGGCGATTTGGAGCAGTGTTCGCATTCTTGGCCACTTTCTCGTGGAATCCGGAAATCTGGCAAAGGTCAAGAACGGGAAAGCATTTGTACAGAAATAGCCAGGGAATCCAACGTTTAAAATTAGTTTATTGCTTGGGTTTATAAACTACTGCCATAAAAAGATAACTTTTGGGCTATTTATCAAAATGCCTATAGAAACAGACTATATATTTAACATTATTTATTTAAGCTTTAAAATATCTATTTCACTTTTCACTTTAATTGGCTCCAAGCACATCGATTATAACTGGAAAATAGTGCTTGCTTTCAAGAAAAGGCTGGCACACGAGTACGCTTTATTGATTGAAACTTGATACTACTATTTTAAGTAATTATGGTGCCTGGTGGAAATAATTGCTTAGAATAACCCGTATTTCTTTCACAATAGAACATAATTTGGTATATTTTGAAAAACCTCAGAACCCTTGAACAAAGAGGGGTATGGTAATTGGTACCATTTCTGTGGGGACTATTTTGATTGTCATACTCATTTTGTAGGTAAAAGAAATTCTTAAGAGAAAACTTTGCGATGACTATTTCATTTTAATATAAATTCTTAAGAGAATGAAAACTTAAAAACTTTATACAATGTTTTCTATAACCAAAGTAACAATAAATGACCCATTTCTAAGCTTCAGTTTTCAGTAGACCACATTTTTGACTGTTCTCAGTACAGTTTTCCATCTGCTTTTCGCCTACTGCAGCTATTTTGTTGGCCGGCAGCTCTGTAATGGAGTGATGACCAATTTGAAAACTGGCACAGAGAACGAAAACACAAAAACAAGCGCCACCTCGATTGCAGTCATAAAAGCGATAGAGACCAGGGGTGCGGGGTGGGTCAGGGTTCGAGATGTCCATCGGGTGATATGCTATGTTACATGTACTACATAATATTGGGGGCGGGGGAGGCGAACTGGCACACTTGCTGACATTGCAGCGTGCACTTAACTAGAACCACCACTGTGCAGCGCACTCACACAACCGCATATGCATGTACCAACTACTCAAAATGGTAAATTTCCCAGTTGCAGCTGAAATAAAAGAGTCCTATTGTGAGCGGTAGCGGGGTTACCTACCGTATATCAAATATTGGTTGTTAAGGGCGTTTTTTGACGAGTCCATAACAATCAAAAGAACAGTTAACGTTAACTGTTAACCCATTAAAAGATCAATACACGCATAGTGCGAAATGGCAGGCGAAAGAGGAGATGAAGAAGGAATTCGGAACGGAAACGAGGAATAGAATTGGTGGAAGTAGGAGAAGCACACAAAAAAGGCAATGGAACGATAAAAAATAAGGAGGAAGCGAAGAACGGCAATGTTGTTTTTGCAAATCTGCAAGTCCACCAACACCACTGCACACGCCCACACACACACACGAGGGAATTATTCAAAAAAATGCCGGCAACCGCTGGAAATTCACTTACTTGCTGCTGGCCTGATTATCGGTGCAATCGAAGTTGGAGATCATCTTGCTGTTTTAGCCGCTAATTAACGCTGGGTAACAATCAAGTGGAAAACTGGCACACACGCAATGAAACACACAAAATGCAGTGGATGGAAATGCACGGATAATAAGCAGATGCCGCGGCACGTTCGTACAGTTCGAAAAGCGAGTTAAATTTAAATGTGGTAGCTCGGTGGTATCGGCAAAATTCGTAAAAACCGGGATGGTGGACCTTTTCGAAAACGACACGTTGTCTCGGTAACAGCGGGGAGTTTTCTTAACCCTCGATGGTAACACTGGTTCTGTTAACTAACAGAAGAGCTGTAAACGTAAGTGCCAAAAAAACGTATCAATAAAAGAAAGACAAAATAAGAGAGATCGGTTAAGTCTTTTAACAGAAATGTTAAATTCATTGTTTAATTATTCCTCCATAATAAACGCACGTGTAGGACAGAGACGGAAAGAGTAGCTACAACTCGCTTTTAAATTTTAAGCGGTTGTGTGCAAAGGTATAAGCCGGGTCTTAAACCAGGTGGGTGTCCCCGCTATAAACATAGTGTAATCGAGGAATATCAAAAAATAATCGCTTTTCTCACATCACTATCCTAATTTTTGTTTACATTCCACCAAGGTGGCTGAATTTTTGAATAAATTCGTAAAGAAATTATCAGAACGTCTGATCCTGTCCTGAATGTGCTGAATTTTATTTGGAAAAGCTTGATTTCCAGCTCCTCGCTGTCCACTGCTGGACAGGATGAACGCGTCCAGCTTGCCAGTGTGCTGATGAAGTGCAGGATCTGTCTGGCAGATTCCGAGGAAGACACAATGAGTTCCCTGTTAAACATCCTGCCGAAGTGAGGATTCCCTGAACGAGAAAGTTGAGTTTTGCTGCGGTATCAAGGTGAGTTTCCAGGGGAGTTGCATCAGTACCACTTATTACTACCATTAATCCCCCAGGTCCGCCAATCCTCTATGATGCCCGAAAAGGCCTGTGGCACCTGCAGCGAGTTCGTGCAAATGTGGTTTAACTTTCGCCAGATGTGCCTAATTCGCAGGTGTACTGGGAAACAAATTGTCCGGACTTGGAGAGACCGGAGGCTCTGGCCCAGGCCAGCGATGGCGAATACATGGAGTACCTTTACGAAAAACTGCAGCTCAATTTGCGCCCTGGAACGCACAACACAGAGGAGATCGTCCAAGCGGTGGAGCAGGAAGAGCAGCTGGAGGATGAAACCCAAGATCTCTCGACGGGATTATCATAAACGAACCGATCGAGGACGAAAATGAGCCCGTAAGGAGAACTCGGAACAAATGTTGATTTCCCACCTCGACGCCTATGCTAATGAGCCGGAAATTGAGGAAATCATTGAAGATAACGGTGAGCTCGTTGATGACTCAAGCCTTCTGAACGACGAGTTCTATGAGATCGACTACGAGCAGGAGGAACTCCACCAAGGAGACTATCTTTCGCTCACTCCCTCGCCTGATCCAAGCTCCGAGCAGAACGAACGCAAGCGAGGAAGGCCCTCCAAGCCGGTCAATGGCAGGACAGGAAGGCCCCGAAAGCCGGACCACGAACTCAAGTGCAAGCGCAGGGAGGTCAAACCCAAGAAAAAGGCGACAAAGTCTGCGAGCGAGGATCAGTTTATGTGCAATTTGTGCGGCAATATGTATAACAAGAAATCAGCTTTCACGGCCCACATGGTGACACATTCGGAGTATAAACCACATCAGTGCGAGTGAGTAAATGGTGGAGTACTTTAATCCTTAACAACGAAAATATTCAATTGCATTGCAGAATCTGTCCCAAATCCTTTCGACAAATGGGCGAGCTGCGGGCCCACATTCGTCGTCACACGGGCGAGCGTCCCTACAAGTGCATGTACTGCGAGCGCCACTTTTACGATCGGAGCGAACGGGTCCGCCACGAGCGGGTGCACACCAATACGCGTCCTTACGCCTGCCAGGAGTGCGGCAAGACCTTCACGCACACTGCCATCCTCAAGAACCACATACTGGTGCACTCCGGCGAGAGGAATTACAAGTAGGTCTTATAACTTTCAAGAGATTTTAAATTCTAATAATCTCCGCGTTTCAGCTGCGACGTATGCTCCAAGTCATTTACCCTGCTGCACCAGCTGAAAGCCCACCTGCTGACGCTCACACATCGCACCAAAATGGAGCAAGCCGTTTCCAGAGCCGCGAACTACATGCAAAGTTAATGCGCCACAACAGATTTCCCAGTAGGCTAGAAAAAATGTCACGTTTGTCATAAACTATTATATGTATTTATAAGCTATTCCATCAGTTCGCTATACTTCATAGCCCACGTCACGCCCATGAGGTGCGCATGCGTCTTCTCGTGCGCCGAGAGCTGGTGCTTCAGGCGGAAGTCCTTGTCGCAGATGAGGCACTTGTGGGGCTTATCTGAAGAGTGGAGGAGTAGTGGGCCTTACGGGAAGTGGACAGCGAAAAGGTCTTTCCGCAAATGTGGCAAGCGTAGGGTTTCTCATTCGTGTGCATACTGCAAGAAAGATTTTTAGAATAGAATATATTAAAAGCAAAAGAGTAGTAGCACAATCAAATTTTAAATAAATCGTATTCAAAAGGGTCTACAATTGAGAAATATCATACCGTTCGTGCTTGCGATGAGTGCTGGAGTCGGCGAATCGCCGCGGGCAGTGGTTACATTTGTAGGGTTTCTCGCCCGTGTGGGTTCGCATGTGGTTTTCAGGTTGCAGGCGGCTCTGAAGGACTTTTGGCAAACCCTAAAAAATAGTTTTGTTGGTTGATCCTTAGTTGTAATTGATAAAATATACGCTAAACTCACTCGCACTCGTGGGCTTTTTCTCTGCGGTGCAATTGCATGTGCACATTAAGTTGAGATATACGAGGATATGTGTTGTTACAGATCCTGCATCTGTACTTGTCTGGCACGCAGACCACGCCCAGATCTACCTCGTATTCGAGGGCTGCCTCCGACTTTTGGGACTCCTCACTGGTCTCCTGAATGCTGTCTACAACCAAGTTTCCTTCCTGAGATGATGTTTCCAAATCGTTGTCGTCGTTCTCCTCCTTGTCAAATCACCGATGGTGTAGTCTCCCTGGACAGGGTTTCCCTCGTTTTCCGCATTGACATTTAGAACATACACAAAATCACCTGGCTCCTCTTGGATAAAGATTTCTTAATGGGTATAAAATCAACAGGTTCGTCTTTGGTTTTCTTTTCCTGGGATTTTCTGGACTCCCCTCAGTCTTAAGGATTATTGGCTTCTCTTCTATGAGTCTCCCTGCAATGTTTTGTTTCCGGGAACGCTTTTTCTGGTCGGCTGGCGTATCCTCGTTCTCCAGGGTCTGAAAAGAGGTGCCGAGGACATTGTTTGGCGGACGAGGGTCCTCAGACGCTCGTCGGACCGTTTGCACTCGCGGAGGAAGCGATCCACTTCCTCCAGCCTGTCCAAACAATCCCAGCATATCTGATCCGGCAGTCCATCGTCGGGTTCCACCTGGCGGAGGAGTATTAAATGAAAAAATGGTCTAGAAACCAAACTAATATAGTGCACTCACTTCTAAGCCAGCATACGAGGCCAACAGTTTCTGGGCATCAGATTCGAAATGGACTGCAGCTCGGTTCTTTCTTGCGGCAAGTGCGGCACATGCTCCATTTTATGCTGATTTCCATAGTTATTTTAGAAATTCCCCCATTTGCGTCAAATACCGATTCAAATGGCAGATTCCAGAGCTGTGCAGGGTTGTCAAGTACGCCGATAGTTGTCAACTATCGTCTAACTAATATATCGAACTTTAAATTTTTATTTGCTTGCAAAAATGTTAATTAAAAATAAAGTAATATTTTTATAATTATTAATTAACTACGTATTTATTTTTAAATATTTAATTACCCACATGACATTAAAAAATCCTTAAATTCAAAAATTAATAAGTGTTAATAAATTTATTGCCAACAATCGATGTGCCGATAAGAAGGTCGATAGCCACACATCGTTTTGCGCATTTGACAACCCTGGGAAAAGTTCCAAGACAAGACGCTGTCCTGTTATTTTCAGAATTGCAACCATACGGACGGCAAGGACGAGCAAAATCATGCCCGAGTACATGCTGTGCAGGATCTGCTTGACGGAGGACATCAACTCGGAGGCGATGGCGCCCCTGTTCGACGACGAGGATGCCCAGTGCCGGGAGCTGGTGCGCAAGATCGAGGAAGTGGGCAGCATCAAGGTACATGTGGATGTGGAGGCACCTGCCACCCGAACTCCGCGGCTAATCCCGCTCTGATTTTTTCAGCTAGTGCCACTGCAGAACATCCCGAGCATGCTGTGCTACAGCTGCGTGGAGCGGCTGACCAGTGCCCACAAGTTCCGGGAGCTGTGCCAGGAAGCGAGCGAACGTTTGCCACCAATGTGGTCAAGGTATGTGAGCAAGCCATACACCCCATACACTGTTTATGTTTATTCACCTTGCCAGGCCGAGATGAAGTCGGAGCCCACGGACGAGGTGGCACACATAGTGCGGACCACATCGAGTACATCTATGAGTCGGCCAACGACTTCATCGACGGAGTGGAGGAGGACATCGAGATGGAGAACATGATGGAGGAGCGCCTGGAGGACGCCACTGTGGATACGTCCGAGTCCTTCGAGATTAACACTGTGGTGGACGACCTGGACGACAAGACCTGCTGGTGCCAATAGCACCGATAGCGACTACCAGCCCAGCGAGCGCTGCCGCAAGCCCAAGGTGCGGAAGACGCGGATGAGCAAACGCGGACGTGGACGACCCCGCGGCTCTGGCTCAGGCTCGGGACATCGACGTAGCCTTAGCGGGGACCGAGCTGCTGTGCAATCCAGCTGCAATCCTCGCCCGAGGAGTCCTCCACAACATCATGTGCGAGATTTGGGCAATATCTACTCCAAGCGGGCGGCCCTCAACATCCATATGCGCCGTCACTTGGCCGACAAGCCATTCGAATGCGAGTGAGTATCCAAAGAAGGTTACTGAATGTAATATAAGAACTAAGCAAATGTTAATCCCCTACAGAATCTGCGGCAAAACCTTTGCGGGTCCATCCGAGCTGAATCGTCATATAGAGTGCACACGGGCGAGAAACCCTTTACGTGTAAATTCTGCAACCGCTCGTTTGCGGACCGCAGCTCCAACATTCGTCATGAAAGGTGAGTGCTCCTATGCTCGAGAGGTGTCTATTAACATCTTGAATGGTTCCTCTTTCAGAACCCACACAAACGAGCGACCCTTCACTTGTTCCACCTGCGGCAAGGCATTTTCCTACTCCAATGTGCTAAAGAACCACATGCTCACCCATACGGGCGAGAAACCTTTCCTGTACGGCTTATAGTGAACATTCCGCAAGCTTAGATCATCTTAATTTGTATTTCATTCAATTTTTCAGTTGCCGCCCCTGTAACAAGACCTTCTCCCGCAAGCATCAGCTGGAGCAGCACATCGGCACGATGACCCACCAACAGACCGTTAGGAACCACCAGAAAATGAACCTATGCGGCACTCAGAGATCTACTAGTCTTAAAATTTGCAATTAACGTTTGCATAGATAAATGTATTTTTAAATATAGAGATTGTATAATAAAGAGAGTACAAATGGTCCGAGCCGGATGTGAAAAATAAATTTTTTTTGGAATATTGGAGAAATATTATTGGAACGAGAAAAAACACATTTTTATAAGCACATTAATATTTTTATTAAAATTCGTAATTACACTCACTAATAGTTAATACTTGTGTTATCTTTAAAGATTATCTTGTATTTCAAATCTGCAAATTATAATGAGACTTTCAAAGCTGGACGTTCAATAGTAACATCAATAAATTCCTTACAAGGATGAATTTAGGATGACTCTGGATTACGTATATAGTAGTATATGACATTGTGTGCAAGGCGGGATTCAGTTTAGTATATTCTTATGGAAGCTAGACTTTGACAAAAAATCGACTGTTTTCAACATCAATAAATGCCATTAGGAATGACACTGGATTAAGTATACTTGTGATTAACACGAATATAGTTTTCTTCAAAGGACACAGAATAATGTTATAATGTTAAGTTTTAGAACTCAAATAACTTTTACCAATAGATAGTATATTGGAAGGCCCATAATAATGTTGTAATGTTAAGTTTTAGAACTTAAATAGTTTCTTACCAATAGATAATATCAAAAAAAACTATAATATAAAGACTAGGGAGGTGACTAAACTTTAAAGATGCCAGCTTCCTGAGCTGCTTCCGCCTCCTCGGCTTTTTCCTTATGAATACTGGTAGACAGATGGGTCCTCAGATGAGAGATCCGCTGGAAGTGCTTCTGACAAACGTAGCAGCTGGAAAATCGAAGAAAATACAATGTAAAATGTGCGTAGACTTGGCTCAAATCGAAATGCCTACTAGTGCTTCCGTACGGCGATGTGGGTCATCTTGTGCTGGCTGAGACATCCGGCACTCACGAAGCTCTTCTCGCAGATGTCGCATTTGAAGCCGCGCTCGTTCCGATGGCGGCGATGGTGCTCCTGACGGGAACTGGTGTCGGAGAACCGACGTGGACAGTAGTGCACATGTAGGGTTGCTCGCCAGTGTGGATACGGCTATGACGCGTTAGTTCCTTCCGAGTGGCAAAGCTTTTTCCACACTCCCTAGAGAAAAAAAATATCTTAACGAGATGGTGTGCATATATTAAAGATCGATTAATATACTCAAAATCGCAGTGGAAGTCCTTGATGCCCGTGTGCCTGAGCTTGTGCTCCAGAAAGTTCGCCCTGTTGTTGATGGATTTCCCGCAATCATCGCAGACAAACGGACCAGTATTACCAATTGGTTTCTTGAGCTTATTGGCGCTTTGGCTGGTGCTGCACGAGTCTTTGGAAGATTGTTGACTTCCGGAGTCAAAATGGCTTCGTCCAATTCAAGCTCAATTTGGTCATCGTCAATATCTTCATGGGAAATCGGTTCCTTAGGGAAATCCTTGCCGGTAGACTCAGACCTTTCCTGGTTCTGCTTCTCGGAAATGATGCAGCGCTGGCGGAACTTAATAGCTGCCTGCAGATCGCCCAAGCAAACCATGCACATGTTGTGGACAGTTCTTTCTTGCAACTTAGCTGGAAATTATAAATAACAAAATATGTAAGGGCCTTGATTAATAAATATATTCTTAGCCTTTACCTCGACTCCAGTGATGGAAAGAATTTGACGGATCAGATGACCATTTTCAGGGTCAAAAAGATTGATTGGAGCATCAATTCCAGAGCAAATGCGGCAACTTAAAATACGCATATCTTGGTTTTTTGCGAATTTTAAAAAATTGCCTTTTGTTTACTTCGTTGCGATCTTTACAGGGTGCCCAGTGCGATTACTGTATTGCCGGAAACACGAGCGTTGGCTACAGCTTATGAGAGGGGATCAATCTCTTGTTTAAATTTTTTGAACATTTATTAAATTATAAAAGCCCAATTATTTCTATATATATTTTTAGTTCCTTTTTCAGTTTTGCTCTTGCACTTTTTAAACCCCCTTAGTACGCCATGTGCCGCCATGGTATCGTTATCGGCGATAAAGAAACAGCTGCTCCGCATATATATGTAACCGACGCGACTGCGTTTGTGTTGCAATTTGTTTATATTTGATTAACTCGAATAAAACTTAAATTTTCTGGATTCCAATAAACATAATGACGCGTCAGTGCCGGACCTGCGGAAGCGTCATTTACAACGCAAAGGCCAAGAATCTCTTCCATATCGAAAACGCCGAGATGCTGCAAAACCTCTGTCTTATATCTGGCGCCATGGTAAAAATTATGTTTTAACTTGTTTTCTTTTCAAGGTCTGTCAAATATCAATTAATTACAGCTCCACAATGATCCGAAACTACCCAGCTGCATATGCGCCTGCTGTATGCTCGACCTGAACCAGGCGATTGTGTTCCGAGAACGCTGCATCCAAACACAGGAGGATCTCCTCCAGCAATTGGCAAATCGGGAACAGGAAGTCCAGATCCCGCCACAGACTGTGAGGATGAGAAGGAGGCAGATGTTAAAATGAAGTTGATGTGGGCAAGTTGGTTTTGCCCTTGCCGCCCGATGAATTGGACGATCCGTTCGAGGAAGTCGAGGAATATGAATACTTTGAAGAATTTGGAGATCTTGATGGGCTTGAGGAGGCGAACGACGTCGAGGTGGGCGAAGAGGTGGCCCACGATGCCGAATCGCTGGTCTCAAGTGTGCAGAAGGAGTTCGAGAGCATTTACAACGACGAAAGTACCGAAGACAACAAGGATTTCACCGAGGATCCAAGCAACTACGATGAGATTGAGGATGAAGTGACGGATTCTCGCAAGATTCATCACAGCCCGAGTCAAAGCGCGGGCGAGGTCGCCCCAGAGGAAGTACTGTCACCACGGAGACGACGTCCACGAAACCCAAGCGGAAAAAACAGTACGTCACATGGAAGAACTTAACCGCGATCAGATGATAGAGCGGAAGCGGCAGCAGCGAAAACGCGACTGCGTTTGCGAACATGCGGCCGACACTTCACCGACCAGAGCAACTTCAAGCTGCACATGCTTCGGCACACAGGCATGAAGAACTTCGCCTGCCGGGAGTGTGGGAAACGGTTCTACACCGATCACCTCATGTCACTGCACCAGAGGATCGTCCACCAGGGTGAACGGCCCTACGCCTGCCGGCTCTGCAATAAGACCTTTCACAATAGCACCACTCGGTCATCCACGAAAGGTGAGTGAAATTATCCTGGGTATATTAGTACCCGTCAAAGTTGTTACAATAAAATTTACCTTTCCAGAGTTCACACCAATGCCAAACCATACGCCTGCCATCATTGCGACAAGAGCTTTAGCTCGGCCTCCGGACGCAAGCGGCACGAACTGATTCACACAGGTGTGCGGGCCTTTTCGTAGGTATAATTCATATGCTTGGCGCTCTGGAAGTTAACACAGTTCGATTTGCAGCTGTACTATCTGCGAACAGACCTTCCAGCGTAACACTCACCTAAAGGCCCACCTGCAGTCCAAGTTTCACATTGTAAAGGCGAGAGCCAATGGCGAGGAAGAGCCGCTAGAATGAACAAATGTTCCGCCTGAAAAGTGTAGTAAATATAAGTTCTTGAAAAAAAAATTTCGAAATTTTTTTAATTTGGAATTGAATTACGATAACTACTGCGCTCCCCTATCAAAATATCGGTAGACGCTCCGATAAGTTTCTAAGTGGCAACGCTAACAGGCTTATATATCCTTGGGCGAAAAGGTTTTTGATGAATAGTTTGTGATTTTTAGATGGTTTAATTATGATTTAAAGAAGGTAAGTAAAAGCTGAAAGTATTTTTTTATTTAAATAAATAATCTTTTAACGGATGTGTGCATTTCACTTTCCAGTTGCCAGACTATGGTATCTTTTGGCGCTTCAGCGACGGTCACACCGCTAAAATTTCGTTTTTTTTGTCGACAATTTGACATTTGATTTCTCTTAAGACCTAATAAACGAAATAACGTGCGTGTCGGCAAGGATTTAAGGATTCCAGACGACAGTTAAAGGAAGCTAATTCCGCCCCCAGAGAAAGTTCCCCTTCGCCCGATTGCACTGTGCGAAAAACCGGTTGTTGACCTTCGGCAGCATGGAGCGTCGTCGCTTTAACATGAGCAGCATGTCTCCCATGGCGGATTCCACGCGGATCGACGCGTCGCTGATGTGAGTAACCACCTGTCGGTCTGGTTGACATTTCTTTCGTATACTAATCAATTGTGCTTTCCTTTCAGAAGCAATCGCCCGTCGGCCGCCAGTTTCTTGATGGGACTGAGTCACAAGGGCGGAAACACCACGCTCAATGGCACCCGCACCCCGGAAAGGTCCTTGATGAACCACACGGCCACCTCGCCCAGCAGCATATCGCGACAGAAACTGAACCTCAGCCAGATAGATCCCAGGTAAGAGAATTACACCATGTGGCGAAAGTACAGTTTTCAGGGAAATGGGGTTTGGGGATGCATAATAGCTTATCAAAATTATCCAACTAATAAGATCTCTCCCATCTTACAGAACCTTTGCCGATGTCCATAGTAGCGGACTGGCCTCCCGCATTGTGGCCTACCACGAGAGCAGCCTTGGAGGACGCAGTGGTCTGCAGCGCAGCATGTCCGCCAGCAATCTGTACAACCCATTGACGCAGCCGCGCAGAGCGCCATCCTCCCCGATACCTTACAAGTCCAGGGTGCCTCCACTTTCGATGACCCAGATTGCACCACCGGAACGCAGCTTCTATTCCGGTAACACGCTGCCCAGCCTGCTGCGCTCCAATTCCCTGGCTGGAGTAGTGCAGAAGACAAGCGAGCAGGAGCAGTTGTCGCGAGAGAACCGACCCATCCTGCACCCACCGCATCCGCAGCACGAGAGCGAACCCACTAGGAGCGTGCTGGAGGAGCTCAAGGAGATCTCCCGGAAGCGCATCAACACTGGTGTAAGTCATCATCAATCCTTTCAAAGGGACACCTGCTTAGGCTTGGCTTGTTTTCAGGATGCCCAGCCGCCGCATGACTTTACGAAAAGAAGTTGCCAGCGGGGTGTGGACTTTGTGGACCATCACCGCCACCAACAGCAGCTGCACCAGTTGCAGCAGCAGCAAAGTCAGTCCTTCAAAAGGCAGCGTGAGCTGACCGTGTCGGTTCCGCTCAGGCATCATTCGACATCTCTGGCGGCAGCTCCGCCTTCTGCATTGCAGCATTTGCACTCCAATGGCAGCATCTCGCCCACACAGTCGCCGGAGCAGCTGGCCAAGCGACCCAACTGCAGCTACAATAACGACATTGCCTCCTCGCTGAGCTCCAGTCGGCGTCATAGCAACAAGCGGAAGCTGTTCGACATGCGCGAGAGTTTCCAACAGAGTAAAAACGAGACACTAGGCAGTGGAAGCTCACCCGAGAACTCGCCTGGGGAAAATGTGGCCAAAATACAGCGTAAAGTGAATGCAGAATCTGTCAGCAAGACTATGAGTATGCCCGTTCCAACTGTTCCGGCAGTTCCTGCCTCGCGGGCCATTTCGGCACCTCCTATCCAAAGAGCAGAGCAGCGATCTGTGGAGGTTCCGCCTGCGACGGAAAAGCCCAAGCTTACCCTCTTCAACGCGCGACAGTCGCATACGAAGGCGGAACCACCGCGACAGGATCTGAGCAGCCCCGAGGTGGATGCCGGGGAATATGCCGGCATTCAGTTCGTGAAGCCGAAGCAGCAGAATTCCATGTTGGGTGTTAAGAATCCCAGCGTAGAGCGCACACACAAGACCAAGCTGGCTATAATGCTGAGTGGTTTGAAGGGCGAACTGTACCAGGGTGAGCCGGACGAATTAGATAACCCAGCGCCAGCCTCAGCTCCAGCGCCAGCGCTGCTACCCTTCCAACGCCCATCAAACCCATCATAGCGTCGCCTGTTACTACAGCCACATCGACCGCGACTTCCACTGCCACCGTGTCACCTACAGCTCCCAGCAAGCCGGTTATATTAAGTAACCAGATTATCAAGCCAGCGGAAACAACAACCACAAGTACCTCAAATGCAGTGCCCAAACTAGTGTTTGGTCAGCCTGCGGCACCCGCTTCTGCAGCAGGAGAGGCACCAAAAACCACCGACAAAGTCCCTGCGGCACCAACAGAAATCCCTGCCAAGTTCGAATTGATAGCCAAACCCGTAACACCAGCAACATCCGCTCAACCATTGATCACCTTCGGCACACCGAAATCCTCAGCTCCAGCCACACTATCATTTGGAAATCCCTCCACTACCACCATAACTACGACTACTACCACCATAAGCACTAGTATGACTACCTCAAAGCCCATATTCTCGTTCGGACAGGCGCCTGCCAATGGTCCAACAGTAGGCGCTTCTACTGGGTTCAAACTGGACAGCCCTGCGACAACAGCAGCAACCACAACTAATTCGGGAGCGCCAGTCACATCAACAACAACTTTCGGAATAACTGTACCAAAATCGACCGCAACTGTCGCTCCCACAACAACTCCATCCATAAGTTTCGACAAGCCAGTTCCAACCATGGAAGGATCAGGACCCGCCACCAGCAATAGTCCTGCAACAGCAACAATATCACCATTTGGAGCAGGAGCACCCGCAGCCAAGCCAATATTTGCCTTTGGACAGTCGGGCAATGCAAGCTCAGGAACTCCGACTAGTAGCGAAAATGGACCCGCAGCACCCAAACCTGCTGTATTTACTTTTGACGGCAACCCCGCTCAAACATCTCGAATGGCGCCAACATCGCTGTTTGGCAGCCAACCGCAAGCAACAGGAAACTCCTTTGGAGGCGTTTTCAATCAGCCCGTGGCTACCAAACCTGAGCCAGCTAAGACGGGCATCTTTGGAAATCCGGAGAACAGCTTTGGAAACGCATTTAAACCACCAGCAGATGTCGCAGCAACAACTGCCGCTGACCTCCCCAAGCCATTTGGATTTTCAGCCACTACAACCGTGGCTAGTGGAGCCCCAGCGGCCACGAATCTCTTTACCTTTGGAGGGTCAACAGCAGCCACTTCAAAGCCAGCGGAGCCAGCTCCAACTAACAACCAAAACAATCCCTTTGGTCAAAGTGCAGCCACAACCACCCCCTTTGCGTTTGGAGGAGCAGCCGCTCCAGCCGCAGGAGCTATTGGAAATAAGGATAACAAATCAGTGTTTGCATTTGGAGGAGGAGGAGGAGACAACTCAGCAGCCAAACCCAGCGCGGTATTCAGCTTTGGAGGCACGGACAAGAGTGCTCCACCTGCCTTTGGCAGCGTAGCAACATCGGTATCTTCAGCAACAACGGCGCCTACAAACAACGCCTTTGGATTTGGCACAGCACCGAAGACTTCAACACCCATGTTTGGCAGTGGAACAGCCCAACAAAACCCGGCTCCCGCTGTGGCAGCCACCAAACCCTTTGCATTTGGTGGTGCCCAGCAAGCACCAGCATCGTCAGCTCCGCCACCTTCAGGAGGATTTTCATTTGCCGCCGTTGCGGCCAAAAATACCACGGAAACCGCTGGATCAAATGTATTTGGCAGCCCCGCCAACGCCAGCAAGCCAAGCTTCAACTTTGGTGGAAGCACCGTCAACCAAGCAGGAACAGCGTCCCAGCAGGTGGCTTCTCTTTTGCCACACCCACCAAGAAGGAGGAGCCTGCGGGCAACAGCATGTTTGGAAGTCCCAACACGGGAATAGTGAAACCTAATTTCAGTTTTTCAAGCAACAATCCGACCACACAATCAGCAGCTCCTAGTCCAGCACCCAGCTTTGGAGGATTCGGAGCTCCAGCAGCAGCACCCAGCTGCCACAAACAATCAGAACAAACCCTTCGCATTTGGAGGCAACAACACGGCATCTGCTCCAGTCCAGCGCAGCCCATGGGAGGCAACCTTTTCGCCAGTGCAGTGGCAGCTACTCATAACCAAGCGAAGCCGGGTGGCTTTCCTTCGGTGGAGCCAAGAGCAATGCCAGTACGACAGCCGGAAACGCTCCCTTCTCGTTTGGAGGAGCAGCTGCCGGGGGCATCGCATCACCGCCCAGCAATCAAAGCATGAATACCGCAAAGCCGTTCAGCTTTGGTGGTGCTAGCGGCAATCCGGCTCCCAATGTCTTTGCCAGTCCAGCCCCTTCGCCGGTGGCTAACAATCCTGCCGGAGCCTTCAGCTTTGGTGGCGCTAGTCCGGCCCAGCAGGCGAACGCCGGCAACGTGTTCGTCCCAGCGCCCAGCACGCCGGAGGGTCGACCCATCCGTAAAGCCACCCGGCGGCTGCAAAAATAGGTTCGCGTTAATGTCCCAACTTAATGTTTATAGATTATTGTTTTGCTAGTTAAATTATTGTTTTTTATACCAGACAGTAAATGGATTTAATAAAGTCGTTGGCAATCCAGTTGTAATATATTATGTATCCATCGACTCTGGTTCGGTTCTGTGAAATGTAATTGACAGACTTTTGATCGGATTGTCACTAAAGAAGTAGAGTTAAAAACGTATCATCTAAAAATATATAAGAAATATAAACAATAAAGTATGAACTCTGAAGTGTTCGATTTAAATTTGAAATGTGTCTTTAATTTGGGTCATTCCTTTATTGTCTGATAAACTAAAAAAGAAACGCTTATTCCATTTCATGCTCATATTCTGTACTTTTATTAAAAGTTGTAGAACTCTCCGCATTCGTTTAATCACCTCGTTTAAGTTTTGTGTATTGGTGCAAATTTGTGTTGCTTTCTCCGGGGCTTCGCTAGCATAGAACTTTCTTTTACAATATTGATTGATGTGTTTTTAAAAAAATAATAACTTTAAAATTAATTAAATGTATGCCATGTGGACGTGTGTGTGTGTTTGTGAGGGGTGTTGTGTATTAGGTGTGTGTGTGTTTTACATAAAATATACTAAAATTAAGTGTTAAAGCAAGGTAGCTGCCGCTTGATCGGAAATTAAAAAGCATAAATTACAAGTTTCTTATGGGGAACACTAAAATATTAATTAGGCATTAAGTAAATTACGGGGTACGTTTTAAAAAATAAATTACAGTTTTCCTTTGCCTTTCCGCTAGCTGCATCGGTTCGATTAGAGTACAGAGAAGGAGATTCCTTTTTTTTTTAGAAGAATGGACCGAATAATGAACAAATCCACGAACTTTGCGCGTAATAATTTATATTTATGTAATATTATTAATCGATTCATATGCTAAATACGTAGTTAATGTGTATTGTATTATATGTAGAAGTTTTAATGTAATGCATATTTTCACAAGTGTTTTTCTCATTACTTTTCTTTACTTTCTTTTGAGTTTAAGGACACGTGGCCGCAGCCGCCTTCGTTAATTTTTGCTTAGGTTTCGCTTGCTCATTTTGCATAATTTTAGTTTTTTTTATTTTGATTTTTAATACAAATAAATGTAACTAAATTTAACTAATTCTCGGCGTGATCTCTTTGCCAACGACTTGTTGGACAAGTTCTTTGTGGTCATCTCTCAGTTTTGTGCTACAAACAGAAACGGTTAACAGAAGGAGTGCGGAACTCGAATAAAACCTGGCGTTTCTACGATCTCAAAATGGAAAACATTCTATAAACAATTGCGTTAGACAGGCTGCCCCGCTAGGGAGCTCCCGCGTCATATGTATGCGTATTCTATAACATAAAGATACAGACGTGGGTGGTGGTCACGAACCCAGAAGATAAATGTTACAATGGAGTCCGAACCAAGGAGTTAACTAATAAATAGCTACAGTTACAGTTACAGTGTACACATAACACATAATATTGTGGTAGTTGGTAGTTAAAGGTAGTAGTAGGTAGGCTACGCAGCTGCTCTTCCTCCTCTCCTCTCGATTTTCCGTAGTCCGTTCGGTTGGTTATTAATTAATGTTGTATGTCGGAAGCTGGCGCAACTCACTAACATTGCTTGATTGTGTTGGGTTCCTTCTTCGCTTAGGCTTACAAAACTTACTCCATAAATTATATATGTAAATAAATTGTTGTAAAGTAGTTATATATATATTCATGTATGTATATAATCGTACGAAAAATTGTTGCGTTCAGTGTCGTCGTCATATGTCAGTTTCAGCTTTGGATCTGGCGCATGGCGCATTTCTGGCAGGGATTGGCTCTGCCCTGGCTTCGTTGATGACAACAGCTGGTCACAATGAACAATCCACTTTAGTTCTTCCCTATCGCACTGGCGTCCGTACCGCGGTGTCTCCTCACGCCGTGGCATTGTTCAGCAGCTGCAGCTTAACCTTGAGCTCTGCGAATGTGGGTCTCTTGGCGGGATTGAGGTCCCAGGCCTGGCGCATCATTTCGTAGATCTCCGGTGGACAGCCTTCCGGCGCTTCCATTTTGTAGCCCACCTCCACGTGTTTTACCACATCGGCTAATGGCTGGAATGCACAATAAGTAGTTAGTTAATTATCTGATATAGTCTCAGATTGGCACTCACAATTCTGGGATAAGGCACGCGTCCAAAGGAGTAGATTTCCCATAGCAGTATGCCAAAGCTCCACATGTCGGATTTGTTGGAAAAGCGCTAAAGTGGAGAGAAGATAATAGACATTAGTTGACATGCAACAGTTGGGTGCTCAGTCACTTGAACTACCCCATTTTTAAGAGCCTCGGAGCCGTCCATTTGATGGGCAGCTTGCCAACGTCTAGATTGTAGCATTCCTCGCGTGCCAAACCGAAATCCGATACCTTGGCCACACAGTCCTCCGAGATGAGAACATTGCGGGCAGCCAGATCGCGATGCACAACCTTTTTGGCTTCCAGATACTCCATTCCAGAGGCAGTGTCGCTATTTAAGAACAATGGTTAATATTTGTTTACAAGAGGATCTCTCTAGAAATCACTTACTAGGCAAAAATGATTTGATCCTTTTTGGTTATGTGCTGTCGTCCACGCGATCGCAGGTAATCAACCAGTGATCCCTTGCTCATGTACTCCGTAACCAGATACAAATGCTTGCTGGTGAAGACCAGGCCGATGAACTTGACCAAGTTATCATGTTCCAGAGTGCTGAAAAGGAGTTTAGGTTAAGAAAGAGAATGAACTGATAGATCTAGGTAATAACTCACGTCATGACCGAGGCCTCGGCCAGAAACTTTTGCACGGCACCCTCATCCTTCAGCATCTTGACGGCCACCTTCTCGTTGCGTAATATGCCCAGCATCACGTCCCCGAACTCGCCCTTGCCAATGCTCTCGCGCAGCTGCAGCTCCGCCTCCGGGATACCCAGCCCTTGTCCACGAAATCTTTGGAGTTAATGCAGAACTCTTGTTTGCCCAGCTTGGGCAAGCACTTGATCACTGAGTGCACAGCCCATCCGCATCCGCCTCGTAGTGCTAAGGGGTTATATAGATTTAGTAAGATTTTTGATTATATTGGTGACCTACCGCCACTAGTTGCCCCAAATTCTCAAAGTACTCCTCATCATCGATGGTCAGCTTGTTTTCCAGTACTTGACCCGGTAGTGCTCCACCTTGGACTGGAAGCAAACGCAGAGCGTGTAGTCGCCGGGGAAGTTGGTGGACTCGCGCACCAGGAACAATCCATCCTCGCGGGGCTGCAGCAGGTGCTCCGCCTCGTCCCGCGTTATGCTGCCATGGAACCAGCTAGGGAAAAGATAACATTAAGATTGAAGGATATATGAGGTAAACTACTTCTAAACTTACGGCATGGCATTCAGCTTGACCTCGCACCTGGAGCGACCCTGCTGCGGTGCCATCGCTGTGGGCGAGAGGGAGGCATGGTTCATGGCCGAGGTGGAGCCACTGGACCACGCGCCGCTGCTCGCATTCACCCCGCTGGCCGCGGAGCAGCCCCCATTGATGTCGAAGCTGTGCAGCGAGGTGGACATGCCGGCTGATCCGCTGCCACTTATGCCGCCGCCAACGCCACCGACCACCACCGCCGGGTTCGGTTGGGAGGACACCTGTGCCGGTTGGGTGGCTGTGTGCAGCAGCATATTGCTGCCATGCTGGCTTCCACTCAGCGCCAGACTCTTTGGCGGCAGGGCTCGCTCGTTGGCGCCGTGCAAGGCCATTTGGGCCGCATTCAGCGAGGAGGACATCAGACCCGCTCCGCCGGACGCACAATTGGCCAGCAGCTGGAGATGCTGCTGCTGTTGCTGCTGGGCAACGGCGGCCACTGCGGCTGCAGTGCCACCGGCAACCGACTGCGATCCGTCGCCTGCTGAACGGATTGGATTGGATTGGGGGCGGGCGCAAACGTGGACAGTATGCTGTGGGAGGCCTGTTGCTGTTGCAGTTGGCTCGTCGTCTGTTGTTGCTGTGCTGCTGCGTCTGGCTGGGGGATTTGGGCGAATGATTGCTGGCGCTGCTGATTAAATTATGACTATTAAGCGCATGCGATGACAAATGCAATGCGCCGGCCGCGCCCGCCTGGCTGGGATGCTGCACAAAAAAATAAAAGGAGGGCAATGTCAGTAGAGCAATTTAATAAATGGAATAGTCGGTACGGTACACATACCACATTGTTGTCGCGATGGTGGTGATGGTGCGGCGGTATGCTGGGCGGCACAATGTGCGGCTGCGACTGGCTGAGTTGCTGCTGGTGGAGCAGTACCGCCCCAACCGCACTGGGGCCACTGGCACCCGCTACTGATCCTGATCCCGCTCCCAAAACCGCATTTGGCTGGGGGGCAGGACGCTTGTTGTGCCGCAGGGGCGGTGGGCGGCATCTGGTGGCCGGTGGTCTGCAGGAACCATGGATCGCCGGCTGTGCTGCCCGTCGCCGCTGCTGAGGCCACCGTCACCGAGGGCTGCGAGAATCCGCGATGGTGTCCAACGACCGTGGTTTGTCCGTTCTGCGTGGCGGTCGCGTGGCTGTTCATAACCGTGCCGGTGGTGGTTGCCGTCTGCTTCCTCAGCGGTCCCTGCTTGATCTCAACGGTGATCAGATCACCCTCGCCGGACGCCTTCCTCGAGAGGGGTTCCTTTTCCTTGTCCTTATCGTTCTCGTCTCCTCCTGCTTGGGTTTCTGATTCTTCTCCCTGTCTACGGCTTCCTCGTCTGCGAAAAAACCCAAAATGAATTCAAACATTACTCTGTTTCTTATCACTCGATGATGTTATTTGCTGATATAATGAGGCCAAAAGCATCTAATCTTATCACACCTGCGTACAACACATATTGACAATGTTATCTTCGTTAATTATATTATTTATTACCATGGCAATCAGCTGGTCAAATATGTAACTTCTTTTATGGACCCATACACAATTATGCAATAATCGGATAGAGTAATGACAATTACATCTTTCACACAATTTAGTATTACAATTATAAATACGATCGAAATTTTCCTACTTCAACATATTCTAAAGATAATATATTGTCAGACATTAGAATTATCAAGTTCTAATATCTGACAATTATATCTATAGAATTTGTATTTTAGTGCTATCAAGTTTAATATCTGACGATTTATATCTATAGAATTTTATTTCATGTTTCCATTGAATAATGATCTAATGTATGATCTCACAAATTATCTTATCCATTGAAATAGCATAGAATATTCCACACGCATTCCCCATTAAACTTGGAAAGATTGCAATATACAACCTCCCACTTTTGATATATGGTTCCCCGATATAGATATATATATATCATATATGAATTCATAGATCGAGCTATATTTTCCGCATAGCCCAACCAGCTATCGTGATCGGTTGGAGGCCAAACGCACGTTTATTTAATCAGTCAGTCAAGTCAGTTAAGTCTGTTTGCAAATAGCTGCGATTGCATAAGCGAGACTTTGGATGCGCAATGATAATTGTTGGTCAACACACTCGACACTCAAAACCCGACTCAGTGACTCAAATGGACACAAATGGCATGTTAATCGGATCGGGTGAACCGAGCGAATCCACTCGCCAAATGTAAAACATTTGCATGTGACGGGCATAATTAAATCGGGTTTATTGCGCACTTTTAGGGTTCGGGCTACTGTTTCCCTGGACATGATTTTGGATTCGGGATGAGTCAGTTTTATATCGCTTTATAACTTCCCATAAATCTTTACACACAGAAAAATAGAATTTATTATGTAAATAGAATTGATAAAAAAAGTAATTTTATTTGGGAAAATTCAAAATATTTTTGAATGGGTATATGATGGTTTACTATGAATTCAAAAAAGATCATGGCTTATCTGCCAGATTATGTAATATTATAATAATTTCTGTTATGTATTTTTTTTTAGTTGCTATAATTTTTAAATAACTCCAGTCAGTTAGTCGGATTTTAAGCAGTGTATGCCATAATAATGTTATTGACTTTTTCACGTTCTTAAAAAAGTTTTAATAAATCTCCTTGTACATCTAGTAAGGTATATTTTTTCTAGTTCTCTAAAATTTGTTTAAAGTGCTTTGGCCAATCCCCAAAATGCTACATGTTCTGCCAACCTTTTTCCCCAACCTTTTACCCTGCTGAATTTGCGTTACTTGTAATTGCGCTGTTTTAGGCAGTGAAGCCTCTTCCAGGGGCTTAATTTCTTAATTTTATGCAAATTTCATTAGCGAATCTCGCTCGCTTGGCGGAAACGCGTTTTGCATATTAAATTCTCATTCTGGGACGTGAATATATCGTGGGAGTGAGTGAAGTCGAGGCGTGGGCATTGTTTAAATAGCGACAGAATGGCAGGTGAGGATTGGGAGGAGGAAGATGAGGCACGCGCAGGTCAGTTTACCGCTCTCGAAAACCCCAAGACCTTGCCCGTAAATTATTTGAAGTCACATCCGCACATTCGCAACGACCTGAAGTTTTGGTTATCGCACTAAATTGGTTTACCATGACTGTTCGAATGCGCCAATCCGTTCGGGAATTGCAGTCGGTCATACAGTCACAGTCATTGCTATTCGTCAGCGGTTTCCTGTTCACCGGAGTCGGAGCTTTGAAGTCACACCCGCAGACAATAGTCTTTATATTTGTGTACTCGCCGCTTATTGTTTCAATTGTTCGACCAAAATGTGAAATTTAGTGCTGATCCGTGGAAGATAAATCGAACCTGAACTTTGCTGAAGCTTGCACAAAATGATATATCGTTTTACAACCCACCAAAAGTTGAATATTCTAATTACAATGCAATGACATCTATCAATTTGTTTGTGCTTTTAAAAATATTTGCTTTTATTTGTAGACCATAAACAATTTTAGGACACTTAAAGTATAAATTCAGCTGAACAAATTACTTTTTAATGGCTTTTCAAAAGCAAAGATTTCAAACCATAAAATTTAAATCGCCAATCTTTCTGTGAATATTTAAAAATAGTTTTTACTTATTTGTTTTCTTCGTAGTTATACGATAACTGTGTTTTTCTTTGTTCTTTGAGCCCGATTAAAGTACGAGGACTTCCGTTGCTCCAATCTTGACCTTGACTTCAAAGAATCATTTATTATTGGAACTGAGCCATTCTTATCCCACGCAACTCAACTCCCAAGAGATTGAGTCACAGGAAGAAGAAATATAATTGTAAAAGATCGGTAAGCCGAAGATTCTATACACTTTTTTCGGAATACTTACTTTTAAAATGATTTTTTTAAACTAGGAAAATGGTTTTTTAAGATTAATATGAAAAGCTTATATAGAAGTTAGCGAATTGCATACAAAACTTTTCAAAACTGTTGATATAGACTTTGAAAAATCGATACTCTCTGCTTTCCTGCTTTACCAAATCCACAATACCCCCACTTCCAGAGTGTAAACACAAAGTACTGATTGTAAAGTGCCGCTTATAATCTTATGTAAAGCCAAAGCCCACTCGAGCTGTCATCGCTGGGAGTGACTCGACTCCGAGGAGCCTTTGATTAGTCAACGCCGGTGACAGGCCAATTACTAGATATATGTACATAAGTATTCCCCCGCACCTGTCGATTTAACATCCACAACTTTGCATGTGCGTGCTAGGTAAAATCTTCTAGGTATCGACAGGTGTTGCCACATACACACACACACCTGTGGCTTTGGCAAGATAAATACCAAGTGTAAATAATGAACAAAAAAACATTGCCGTACTTGCAAAACCCCAAACAAAATCACCACAAATAATTAATAAGTTGGCGAAGAGCTGTAGAAGCGAAACGAACATAAACTACCTTTGGAATTCGTAAACAAAAAGGTAAATAAAAGAAGGGAGGTGGAAACACGCTCACCAAATATAAATCAACAAAACACACAAATGAACAAAAAACAATGCCTGACGGATGAACATGAAAATGGAGATTTGTGTATTGCTGAAATATTCCAAATATAATAATCATTAAAAAATGCACAAAGTTAAATTTAACGACAGCGATCTGCCGGACATGAGTGCAAAAAGCGCTTCCAAAGGTTTGAAAGGCATACAATAAAATTGAATGATTCATTGGCCATTGGCAGCAGTTCAACGCACACATATCGTGCGGGTACGTATACTTTTGCAATGCACTGTGCACTGGTTGTGGGTGTTGAGCAAAAGTCAAATGAAATGCGCAGTAATCCGACTGACTCGATGAGGTAATACTAATTAGCCAAAGCAACGCTAATGCACTGCGGAAAATTTGACAAAAAATGGATATATCCCAATATATATATATGCTTCAAAAACCATTTTAACATCTTTCAATAACCAACCTAAAATATACAACTTACCCCTATTTCTAAAATCAACCATTATCCAAAAGCTACAGTTCTGAAAATGGTTGATGTCTGTTTTTAATATGGAAATTATTCCTAAAAATTTTCTTTTCAAATTCGAAATCTATGTAGTCAATTTTAAATGGACTCAGGACCACACATTTTCCCACGTGATCTACAGATCCATTAGCTCCACTATTCCCTAGAACTCTAATGGAATTATTCTCTTTACACTAATTCCGCTTTTAAGACCTAAAGACTCTCGTTTGGGACTAGTAGTTAATGCCCAACTATTTCATTTAATCCCCCCGAACAACCAAGTTAGCTAATGAAAGCTCTGTCTGCCAGCAGTTCAAGTTCTGGCTGGGCTGACAGCCCGACGATTCCACCCTTGGGCTTCAAGACTCAAGAAGAACTCGTGTGTTAGAGGGAGCTTGGGGAAAAGAAAACAGTTCAACACCTATAGAGCTAACAAGCACATATGTGAGAATCTTTTGTAGAGCTTCCTTATTGTTTGAGTTAGTGCAGAACACACACACACTCCTCAAAAATAACAAGGAAAATAGAACTTGGAAACCGGAGATGTAAGTACACTGTATGAAAATCAGTAGAAATAATATAGCGTCTTGGAAATAACCACGTATTATAGTGAATTCCTCCAAATTCATTTTAATATTTATCATATTATATTGTAGCAGGTCATGTAACTAAAAAAGTTTTCACTTTTCTTTTTACCTAGTTTACTTTTCCGAATAAAAATACCTCATAAAGAAAATATAGTACATGAATTCCAAGGTGCGATGTTTCTCCACCTGTGCCTTGCCAATTTCTGTGAATAATGGCACTACCCCATGGCGCGGTCTTATAATAAACAAATACCTATATATATAGAGCAACCATGGCGGTGGAAGGGGACCAAGTTTCCGACATTCTCACACTATTTTTTGCATTTTTGCTCAGGGGAAACGGTGGGGTACTGAAACGACAGGTAAATACACACTGCCAGACAATCATTCCTGCACAAAGTCAGTCAACAGTTGCCGGTGGTTCCTGGGCCATTGTGTTTTTCGCCTACAGTTGGAAAGTGCAGGCCGAAAGAAAGGTAACCTTAGTCAGTCAGTCAGTCAGTCGCTGGTTTCGTGGGCCCAAAAGGTAGGGAAAATATGGGTGGAAAAAGCCATGAATGGAACGCGAGGCGCTCATGAATGGCGTGTGATGGTTGCTTTTCGCCGGTACTCGGAAATTTGCATATCGCATGCGAGGCGATGAGCAGCAGGAAAACCGCAAGCAGGAAGAAGGAAGACTACACCTGTGAAGTAGAAAAAAAACACAGAAACACAGGTACATGGATCTGCTAATTACACGGTTAGCTGCCTCATGTGGTTGACCCTGAGCGGGGAGTTGGAAGTGGTGCTCCGTTCGGTTGGGTGGCCCTTCTGTGGCTATATGGCCCTTCTCCTTCTCCAATCTTGGAGCAGCCGCAACTGGACACCAGTTATTGCCCAACGGTTAGACCATAATAATCCAATACCCCAGCCCAATGTCAGCGAGCGGAAAGAGATTTGGACGCTTGGAGGGGCTTGAAACACAATCTGCGTAATGCTTACAACACCATAGGCAACAATTGGGAGCAGGGCTAAGTTGGTGATATGAATTTGTAGGGTTTAAAAGAACTTGTTTCTTACAGTTATCTAAGTTCTTTAAACTCAAACAAAGTTCTTGACTGCCTTAAAATAATAAGAAAGCTTGAAATGTCCGCCAGATTATTTTGTTTGAAATTTTTTTATTTTAAAATCGAAAATTGAGACCGATTTTTTATTTTGAAAAAATTGTTTTGTTAATTAATTTATTAATTTTTTAGATAAATTACTTAATATTTAATATACCTCAGGCCGAATATTTTTTTTGGTGCTCTTTTACTTTTTAGACCAATTAATTATTTTTGGTTTTAGATAATTTTATATATTTTTTTAAGTTACTCACTAAACTTTTTAAACATTTTTTTAAGATCTATTGTGTACTAACCGAACCACTCCTCTGAGTTGGCGATGGGCGGCAGAGAGCGGGATGTCTGTGTCCGTTTTTCTTTGTCCGCTCCCGGGAATTTCCCGAGGATCTTTGGTCTTTGGTCTGTTGGAGTTCGGATTTGGTTTTGGCCGCCTGGAACTTGCGATGGGCGCACCGCAAAAAGTTCAGCAGACGGGCGTCGATGGGCGGGGAGGATTCGTTTTTGGCAGATGAAGGAGAGGGTGCAGTGGTGGGTGTATTCCTTCCAGGATTTGGTGCATACTTGTCGCAGAAGTAGAACTCCCGCCGGCGAGGAGGAGCATAGGCGGCACTCAGGCTGCTGCACAGGAGGATGGGCTTACGACGAGCTCGGGAGATCACCTGACCACCAGTGTGGGTGGCGTGGGTGTTGCCTCCTTGTGGGTCACACTGCTGGCGCTGCGTGATAGTCCTGATCCCAACCCCATCCCGATCCTGAGATTGTTCCCCCGCAGATGACTCCCTGCTCTGCTTGCACCAGTAGATGTCCTTGCTGCCAAAGTAGTAGCGTCGTCTCGTGTCCTGGCCGTGTCCCAATCCCGATCCCATCCTCGATGACTCCGACCCACCGATCGATTTGATCGCTTGCTGGCACTGGAGGCCGTCTGACTGCCACTACTCGTCTGGGAATTGTCACTCTCGTTGTTCGAATTGGCTGGAGAGGAAGATGTGGATGCCGATTTCAGTGCCCGATCCGAGGAGGACGATCCTGCTGCACCTGCTCCGCTGGCAGGAGACGAGGGCATGAGGTACGAGTTGGACTGGATGAAGACGCCATCGCAGGTTATCTTAATTGTTGTCACCATGTTCCCGCATTGCGTTCACTTTGGGTGGTAGTTCACCTTTGGATTGGTTTACTATATTGCTTTAACTTAAGATACGATCTTGATAGCGCAATAACCCTGGTTTAACTTTTAAAATCTAGAACCACACCATTTAAATATGAACATTGAAAGCACAGAATTTATTTTCTAGTTTTTAATCTGATCGTGATATCTAATTCCTGGTTTAACTTTTATAAGAGTAAACTGTTTCTAGAATTTGATTTTGATTAGATCGCTGAGGAGCAATATCCCTGGCTTAACTTTTATAAGAGTGGAACTTCTCTTAATTCTTAAAAGAAAGGAAATATGATATGTACCCATCTAAGAAATCCCCTAGAATTTTTTTCCACGTACTTTCCAATTACCATCTATATAATTTCCAATTTCCATATCTATTTTTTTCTGAGTGAAATATAAGGTAGTTCTAATGGCATTGTTGGTGCACAGTAGCAAACCAAGTTCAATCAGAATAAAAAATCCCCATCGTAGAACTGAAATCGAGGCTAATGCCCAGTCTGTCCTGCACAAAAGCCGGCAAATTGTTTTCGTTGGTAATAATACTAATTAAGGTTCTGTAAGCGCTTCGATTTGGTATCGGACAGCATCGAGATGGCCACAATGGACATGGACAACTGGGCGGAATCAATAGTGAAGCGACGACCGGGGCAAATAATGGCTAGCAAAAAAGCGCAAATGGAAAATTTCTAAAGAGAAAATTCAAACTAAAAAAAAACACAGCGAAATGGGATAAAAGCCAGGCCTGGATAGATATAGAAAAAACAAAGAAAAAACAGAGGTAGCTTTACAGAAATTGACTTCATTGCGAGAAAATCACGTACTCGACTAAATAATAACAACTCTTTGGCATCTATAGGTATGTTATTTTAACTCATACTTTTTTCTTCTTTTTTTTTGGCATTCCTTGGCAAGTCAATTCGCCACATTAACGGTTTGTCAGCGGCTTACTGAAATAGTCGACAATGGCTTTGAGTGCTCCACAAACTGCTAAATACGCTGGTTGGGCCAAAATCAGTTGCCATTCCATGTTGCCTTATTTCTCTGGGTTGGGAAAACACGAACCAGCCGACTGACTGACTGCCTGAATTGAATTGGAATTTACTGGAGCTCTGGCTACATATTGTGCAAATAATTTGGGCGTGGGAACCTTGCAGTCGACGTCGGCAGAGGAGCTGCAGAGAGAGCTATTGTCTATCCCTAGACAGGTGGCCAAATGTTGGGAAAGTCAGTGGAGGGAAGAAGATATACGGGCCCCGATAATGGGATATAGTTGTAAGCAAGATGGGGCTGCTAATTACTCGGAAAATTTATGGGTTTAGGTGTAAAAGAGAAGGAGATCGTTTATAAGAAGGGATTTATTTCATGGTTTCTTTAGTTAGGAGCTTTTAACTTATATAGGTACTTTAGTTATTAAAAATTTGATAAATTTAAAAAAACGGAAAGATACAGCAAATTGTTATTGCAAATCATTTTATATTTTTTGGTCGATGATAATGATTTGATAACTCGAAAAATGTTCGATTTAAGGGGTGTAAGAAAAAGATGTCTTTTATAAGAAGGTTTCATTTTTAGTTGATAAGTAAAGATCTTCTGATTTTTAAATGGGTACTTTAGCTATAAACCACATTTACGTTTTTTTTAATTCAATAAGATCAGTAAGGTATTTATATCTCTTATTTGCGATCCCGACCACTTTTTCTGCATCTTTACTTTCTTCGGCTGGCTGAGAACTTTCCTGGGCAAATGTCAACCCACAATTAACTATGCAAATGAGCCCAGAATTGGGCACGTGGAAAGTGATTGCTTATCATGACCCACAAAGGAACCGGGGCCAAATGAAATTCTCCGCACGAAAAGTGTTGGGAAAAGCGTTCGGTTGGCTAATGAAGAAGCGCACCCAAAAAGACACAAAAAACACAAAAACTAATTAAATAAAACAATAACAGAATTATGTATGACACAACGAGTTTCTGTCGCTGCTGCTGACGAAATGCAAAATAAAAAGGCAAGAGCCCAAAGCCACAAAAAGTCGAATCAAAATCTAAGCCGTCGAGTGAAACAAAGCGGGCATTAAGCAAAGTGAAAAGCTTAAGACAATGGGCCTGGTTTTGTGGGTTGGTCGAAATGCGTAAGTTAGCTGCTCCGGATATCCTCGGAACGCTCGGGTTTCACAGCTCCGTTTGTATAGGATCGTACCGAATCGGTTTTATATAGCCGGCGGCTGCAGTACCTGTTGCATATATCATTTTGGCAAGCAGTTAGTGAAAGTTTCTCGATATACTAACTAAAAAAAAAAACCCGAATGGCAAGCAATTTACGTTGAGACCGACCAAGAGCATTTAGCATTCGCTATTGTTTCTGACCATTCCGGGGGCTTAATTAATAACTTAAGTTTTACAATTATTTTAACGTGCCAGGCACGCATTAAAAGAAAATGAAGAGAGTCAGTCCAAGAGTTGCGGAATGAAAAATGAAATGCGCCATTGGCCATTGGAGGTTAAGAGCAGGGGACAAGGGGGTCTGCTTAGAGGGTTAAGCTCGTCTTCACTTGTGTGCAGTGAATGGCAAATTGAATAAGTGGATGGAAAACACATAAAAGCCGTGTACAGAGCCAAGAAAAATACATAAAAAATTGTTTCACGCGTCTGCAGTTGAAGTTTTAGTTTTTTTTTTTGTTTTGTCCACTTTCACTCGGTCCAGCCAGCTTGGAGAGCCAAGAGATTTCGACTCGAATTCGCTCAGGATGACGTTTTGGCGGATTAGTTTCCCATTCAGAGAGCATTGGCGAAAACTAGTTACAGTTTAAGGCCCCGGTTTTTGTAGTTTTTTTTTTTTTTTGGCCGATTAGAGCGGTGCGATGACTAATGCGCTGGAAAATTGAAAATGCCTCGACACGCCATCTCAGCCTACAATGTTTTTTTTTTGTATCTATCTTTTTTTCCGGTTTTTATTTTGTCAAAGTCGAAAATGTCTGCACGTCGCCAAAATTAGCGTGCAAATCGATTGCGCAGAGGGTTTAGGCCGAGTGATTCATGCAATTTTGGTATCAGCTGCGGTCCATGGTAGTTGCATCTGGATCTGGGATCTCGGGGATCTCTGGGATTAAAATGTGCAGTTAGAGAGCGAGAAGAATGAAAGAATAGCGAAGAAATTGCAGTAATGGAGCTGGGGGAATTCAATTCGCGGCGACCTGAGAAAACAATTAGCACTCTGTGATTGAAGTTGGCCCGGGGAAAACTATCCATCAAGGGGAGGGGAGGATTGAAGGGGAGTTAACATGCTGCCAAGGCACTTTCATTCGAGACTTTCAAACAATCAAATATGCAGCGAGGTGATCGTCTTCATCAGTTGCACACGAAAAAAATACACGAATTGGCGAAAAATTAAGTTTAAATTGAATTGCTAAATACTAAATTTTAGAAAGGTAGTTAATGAAATTCCAACTAATATAACTTTAAATCTTTCAGTTACTTTATTTGTTTAATTTTTAATTGGTATTTATGAAATACACAACGCTAATATATTGTATTTATTATTACTAGCTAATTAAACATTGATTTAATCCCATTTTAACCACCTTAAACAATCTTTGATTTCGTCTGTGCCTGCCTTGAGCAACATTGAATTAACCACGGCCACATTCAAACACTGATTGCTACTAATGTCCGATACATCTGACCAAAACCCATAATTAAGCGCACATTCCCGGCTTGGGAAACAAATCAAAAGCCAAGCACACAAAGGTCATTGCGCCACCAGATACAAAATCTCAAAATAAACATATATTTAAGAGATATTAAACGGTCAAATCAAATCAAGTCAAAGGGAGCTTTTTTTATGCCCCTTTTTTGTTTTTCCTTTTTCACTTTGTTAATAATTTTGGCACAAATCACTTCCTTGAGGCGCTACCCCCCGAATCCGAAAAATACAAACAAAAATTATTCGCGCTTGTATAATTAATTATTACAATGTGGCGATATCAGCAATCCGAATTCGCGCCGTTACATCACGATCATTCACGGCCTGCCTTTTGTGTTGCACTCAACGGATTGGGATTATCAAAAGGCCACTTTGCATACCCTCATAATTTATTGTTATTATATATTGCAAAAAGCCAATTGCAATCGATTGAATTTTTGTTGGCTAATTCGCACACACGCGATGATGAGCTGCGCATGCGTGGCGAGCGATTTTTTGTTATATATTTTTTTCAAATTTAAACGCGACCGCGCGCTTTGCCTGCAAGTTTTCAACTGAAAACCGCTGCACAAGTTGCCGCCGAGACTGAGTCACGATATATATAAAAAAAAAACAAAAAAACCCCTGAGAGAGAAAGAGCTCTTGCCAAGCTTTGATTTTCTTCGTGTTTGTGAGCCGGCTTCTTCTCTTTATCGGCCAACTGAAATAGCATGCGATAAAAACCAGTCGCTCGCATGCGATCGCCCACCTGCTGCACTTTTGGCCACCATTGCAATAATTTTGCCTTTTCAAAGCCCCTGCTCCAGTGTAAATAAAATCAAAACATGTGTTGCCCAATTCATTAGGCCAATTTTGGCGCTTCAAGTTTGTGCTGCGGTCTTGCTTTTGGCCAAAAGTAAGTCACACTGCGGTCGCCAATTTTTACACCGAAAATTAATTACGATTAATACTATTTCTAATAACATTAAAAGCGATAATAAGCAATTATAATAATTTTCGGTCTTTAATTTAATAGATTTAATGGGGGCTAATACTCAAAACATTGTTTTAAAGTCCGAAAAGTTGGTATTAAAAAGGGAAAATTTACAATTGTGTTTTTATTATAACAAATATTTTTTTTAAATTATAAATACATTATTATCAATTTACATTTAATTTTTTGGATAGTTTATTTAGTTTTTTTGATAAACGGATTATAAAATTTCTTTTAAAGCAGGGTTTTTAATAAATTCGTTGATATGATACAAATTATATTTATCATGGAAAAAAATTTTAAAACATTGATCGAATATTATAAGATTTTTTAAATACAAATTTGTTTATTGTTTTATAAATAGCACGACATGAATAAAATCCTGTAATCAATTTCGTATTGTCCATTGGACAGTATTATTTATAAATATATAAAAACCTCATCCACAATTAAAGTATTATCTGCAGTGCAGTCTGTGACATCGGAGATTCGAGCCCAATGCGATCGCAGTTTGAAAGACACACATCCAGTAACATTGGAGCTATGGCTTTGTGGCTTGGATCGATTTCCTTTCTGTTTCGTTTATTTGGTCTAATTGCCGCCGCTGGCCATGTTAATTAATTCCCCCATTATTGGTTCCCCAGATACCCCTCCCTCCCCGCCCCCTACTCTCTCTATTTTTTTCCACGACTTGTATGGCAAATAGTTTTCCTTTTGCATGTTTACTTTCGTCTCCGTTTCCAGGCAATTTGTTGCCGCTGTCGAATCAGTTGTTTGCAAAAATGTAGACATCAAAATGTTTATTGTTTCTTTCGCATCCAGGCGTTTGCAGTTGCAGTTGCACAGTTCGTGATTTTCCTCGATTTTTCTATTTTGCATTTTTTCTGCATATTTGCAGAGCAATTAGCATCAAAGTGAAGTCGGAACTGTGCCTAGAGAAAACCAGCAGGAGCTCCTCTGACGTCACCGGTTCTCCCAGCAAATTTGCAAGTAGATCAAAGCGAGGGATATGTGCTAAAAATACTTACAAAAGCAGCATAAGCAAACAAAAACCGGGAGAAAGAAGCTCAAATATGCAAAGAAACTGTGCGGCGGTGCAAATAAAAAAACGAGAGCAGTAATAACTTAAGGAATGTCAAACATATAAATGTATACCAACGGTTCCAGATAAAGTAAATATTTCTCCCGATAAAACTTGCTGCTTTTTCCACTGTTTTTTTTAAGATTTAATGGCCGACAGAATTTTAAAAGTATGATAAGACAGGGAAAAACAATTTGATGAAAAAGTATTAAAATAAAGGGACTTATTTTTTATTTTTAAGTATTTGTGTGTTTCAGATATTTTCTCACATAATTCCGAAGATTTAAAGTTAGATAAGCTGTTTTGGCAGCAGTTCAATAAGTCAAAATATATATAGTGCGATCTATAAGCGCATTTTATATATTTTGGTATAAGCACTGCTGAATACCTTCTTTTCAGAGAGGATATATGCAACTTTTATACCTATATGCATGTAAAAAAATAATTGTAGTTGGTAATCCCTCAATTTACCTGCCCACCCCTAGAAATAAATTTTATTGCCAATCGGACTAATTAAAATTGCAAATTCCAATTAGCATTCCAATCGGTACGAAGTACAGTGGTCATGCAAAGGCGCAATTAGCGCAAGTGAAAATGGGAGATACAGATACAGTACGTAGTAAGCGCAATAAAGGGAATATTGAATACAGTGGGCGCCAAAAGTTAGTCACTCATTCGAATGCGAAAAGTTCACGCAACACTGACCTCACACGCAAATACTAGCGTACTCACTCACACACACACACACAGTACAGCTGGAGTATAACGCCCACGCATGTTGCAATATACAAACAAACAAGCCTAAAACGGGATACAGAGATACAGAGAGGGGGTGGTTGGGAGGTGGGGGGTTGGAAGGTTGGGGAGCTTTGTGGCGCCTACGTGTGACGTCAGCGAACGAACATTTTTGCCGACGACGCAGAAACTGACCGAAAGACAACAACAAAACAACAACACAGGGAGCATTACTATACGAACGGAAATCCATAACAAAAACTACGATGCGCCACGCTTCGGTTATTGCCTTTAATTACTACTGTGGTTGTTGTTGTTGTTTTTGTTGTACGCATCGGTCATTCATGGCCCGATTGCTGGCTATATATGTATCTTTATAGATATGTGTATATGTTATTCAAAAAACCTCCACAACAACAACGAATTTCGCGCCGCAAAGTTGTAAAACGTGTTTCTGTTTTCGCTTTGATTCGAACCAAAATGCGTAGTATTTTGTGATTTTTTTATTATGATTTTTTTGTTGTGATTTTGCTTTCGTTTTGGAGCCCAACTAGTTGACCTCAGACAACAGTGTTAAAATACAAATATAAAGAAGCTGCAGATAGTTGACCCAAAAATAGGCAGTGCGCAATGGGGTAGGGGAACTTTTGTCGGTTTTTTTATATGATACTAAGTTTAAAATTCTAAAATTAAATGCATTTTTTGTATTATTTGTATTTGATATTTAATAATTTTTACTTTTCTAGGTTCACTGTATCTAGTGGTACTGTACGCCTTTAAGTGTGTTTATTTTTGTTTTTGCCAATTTAATAGCATCATCATAATGAAGGGGCAAAGTTTTATGCAATATTTGTTTATCATTGTTGGCTTGGAATTGTGCAAAAGTTACATATTTGCAGAGTGTTTCGGTACTTTTTGTTTGTCGAGTTGCGTTATCCTTTTCTCGCAAGCTTTCGTCACTTTCACACCCACACCCACACACGCAACACACTACACACACACAGACAAGGACAAGTGTATTAAGGAAGCAGACAGCGCGACGCTGCAAAAAAAGGGCGTTGGGCGGAGTCCTTAAAACGGGCTCAAAAACAAGTAGCCCCAAAAAAAACAGGGGAATACTAAAAACCATATGGCTTACCCGATTTTCGATGGTGTTTTTTTTTCTCCTTCTGGATTGGATTTCAGCTATTGTTGTTGTTGTTGTTAGTTGGTCTGTTTTGCTTTGTTTTTATTGTTGTTGTTGTGGCTCCGCCTCGTTAACATTCCAATCCGACGCTGCTGCGCTGCCGACGTCGCGTCGCGTCGCTGCTCACTGCGCTGCCCGTGGTGGCGCTTCAAGCCATCAGCCAGATGCACATTTCATTTGAATTATCACGCATATTTAATAAGGTGTTTCTGCATATATATATATTTATAAACATTTGCACCACCTTTACAAACCGATCCGATTTGATTTCGGGAATATAAATACACACAGACACTTGCACGGGCACTCTCACGCACCACGCACACACACCTGGCTGCTGCTGCTGGTTTTGTGGAATTTTCGATTCTATTCTCCTTGTTTTCGGCCCTTCTCCGCTGTTGCTGATGCATATCCGCACTTGCATCCGCCTTAGTTTATCCCACGCATGTCACTCGATTATAATTCGATTGCTCAAACAGTTCGCAGAACGGGCGATATTAATTTAAACAAAAAATTCACACGAGAGCAGAGCGGCCATCTTGCGTCAGTGTTGTTCAACCTTTTTTTGGATGGTCTGCAGTGTGACCAGTCGGGGTAATGCAGGAATGGCCCAATGAATTCTAGCTGTTTTCTAGCTAATTCAAATTTGGAACAAGGGGGATTTTACCGAAAATAACAATTTGGTTTTAACCTGTGCGGAATACTTTTATTCCTATATTATTGATACTTATTGTTAATAATATTTTAATGCTGCAGCCACCATCACTTATAATTGGCAATAAGTAAGTTCATAATTATAAGTTAGTCCGCCTGTTTCCCTTCTACATATATTGTCGTAACAGCTGATAAACAGCTGATAAAATAGTGCCACGATTAATTTAGTTCAAGGAATAACCCTAACATTTGCCGGAATCTACAGTGGTCACCCTGTTCCACACGTGCAATATTTACGAAATATGCGCAATCTGAAGCTGAAATATTGCAAGGAGCTGGATGCAGTGGCTCATCCCCGCCAGCTGCTACTGCAGCCGGAACTGAACGGCGACACCGCGGACACAGCCTTCGTGGTGGCCGACGACAAGATATTCGCCGTTCAGGAATCCGGAAATGTGCGATCAAAAGTCATTGCCATTTGCCGGACATTGTGGCTGCGGAGTTCCTGCAGCTGGACAATGCGATCTGCGTGGCCAGTGGGGCAGGCGAAGTGCTCCTGGTTGATCCCCAGACGGGTGCCACCAAGGGCGAGGGAACCTACTGCGACGTGGGCATCGAGTGCATGTCGTGGTCGCCCAATCAGGAAGTGGTGGCCTTTGTCACTCGCACCCACAATGTGGTGCTGATGACCAGCACATTTGACGTGATCGCCGAGGAGCCACTGGACGCAGAGCTGGCGCCGGATCAGCAGTTTGTCAACGTGGGCTGGGGAAAGAAGGAGACGCAGTTCCACGGAACTGAAGGAAAGCAGGCCGCTAGCAGACTGGAGGTGATTCCACGACAACCAGACAGCGAGGAGCTTAATCAGGTTTGTTTTATCTTGAAATTTTCTAGAACAATACGTAAACTTTCCTAATCCCCACAGGATGTAACATTTCCTGGCGCGGCGATGGAGCCTTTTTCGTTGTGTCTTATGTGTCCGCCCAGCTGGGACGCACTTTTAAGGTATACGACTGCGAGGGAAAACTCCATCACACAGCCGAAAAGAGTGCCAATCTTAAGGAGGTGGTGGCCTGGCGACCTGCAGGCAACTGGATTGCGGTGCCCCAGCGTTTCCCCAACAAGTCCACCATGCTCTCTTCGAGAAGAATGGCTTAAGGCATCGCGAGCTAGTGCTTCCCTTCGATATTCAGGAGGAACCGGTGGTGCAGTTGCGTTGGAGCGAGGATTCCGACATACTGGCCATTAGGACAACGACCAAGGATGAGCAGCGTGTATATCTGTATACTATAGGCAACTATCACTGGTACCTCAAACAGGTGTTGATTTTTGACCAAGCGGATCCAATGGCACTGATCCACTGGGACACGCGAATTGGAGCGAACACACACTGCATATTCTCAAGGAAAGTGGGAAAAGGTTGATCTACAGCTGGGCTTTGCCGTGGATCGTTACGAGCGTAGTGGTGTCGTCGGAGTCATCGATGGCAAGCGACTGCTGCTCACAGATTTCGCCTGGGCCGTAGTACCACCTCCCATGTGTCAGAAATTTCTTCAACTGGACAACTACATCAACGCCTTTACCTGGTTCGAGACCAGCTTGTGTGTGTACACCTGCGATCGTCGGATGTACTCTACGAACCAATGCAACAGTTGGGCGGACACGAACCACAGTCCAGCCTTCTTATGCCGGATGCAGAGCTTTCCCGTTTGACACTAGCCAATCTCACCTACTTTTCGTGTGATTACCTGCTGGCCACGCACAGCTCAGGAGGATCCACACGCCTTCTACTGCTGAACAAAGAGGCCGACGAGGATGAGGTCAACGAGCAAGGTGAGCCTTGCTACCGGGTGCAGAGTTCGCTGCGGATCAACGGGTTGGTCAACGCCGTAACTATTGGAGCCAACGCCATGGATCAATTTTACGTGCAAACAGTGAATAATGGACATACCTACGAGGTGTCCCTTAAGTCTGACAACACACTCAAGGTGGAGCGAACTCATGTGCAGTTGTCCCAGCCGGCTGACCAGATCGAGTGGTTCACCATCATTAGCGACTCCACAGGTATTTAAAACTCCAATCGTGTTTATCATCAATGAAACTGGTAATAGATTTCTAATATATAACGGTTCTTCCTTAGGTGGTCTCATCACCCTTCGCAATCAGCAACTCCTCCATATGGACGGCCATCGCATTGCGGAGGACGTCACTTCCTTCTGCGTGGTGGGCAACTATTGGCTACACCCAGCTGAATGCGATGCATTCGTTCGCCTCAAGGATCGTCGCCAGGTGGCAAGCCGGAACATCGAACGCGGGGCAAGCTGGTAACGGCAGTGGCCAGTGAGGCCCGTGTCGTGCTGCAGCTTCCGCGCGGCAACCTGGAGGCCATTTGCCCGCGTGTACTCGTCCTGGAGTTGGTGGCGCTCTGCTCGGAAGGAAGCAATACCAGGCGGCCATGCAGATGTGCGCAAGCAACGCATTAACCTTAACATCATCTGCGACCACAATGTGGAGCAGTTCGTGGCTAATGTCGACGTCTTCCTGCGCGAGATCAAGCAAAGTCAGTGGCTCTGCTGTTCCTTAGTGAGTTGCAAAACGAAGATTTCGCCAAGGGCATGTACTCAAGCAACTATGAGGCGGGAAAGCAGGCCTATCCCTCGGACTATAGAGTGGAGCAAAAGGTGGAGTACGTGTGCCGACTGCTGGGACAGCGCATGGATCAGGCCACTCGTCCGGAGGATGTGGAGCGCTTCCGGCTGCCTGTTATCACTGCCTATGTGAAGTTGGGCCGCTTGGAACAGGCTCTCCAGTTGATTTGGCGGGAGAAGCAGGCGGATTCGGCCTGGCAGATCAACTGCTGAAATATCTTCTCTATTTGGTGGACGTCAACGATCTGTATAACGTGGCCCTAGGCACCTACGACTTTGGACTCGTACTCTTCGTGGCCCAAAAGTCGCAGAAGGATCCCAAGGAGTTCCTGCCCTATCTTAACGAACTGAAGGCTTTGCCCACAGAATATCGCAAGTTCCGGATCGATGATCATCTTAAAAAGTACGCCTCTGCCTTGTCACATCTTGCTGCTTGTGGAGAGGAGCATTACGAGGAGGCTCTGGAGTTCATCAAGAAGCATGGCCTGTACACAGTGGCTTGGCATGCTATCGGGATCACCTTGAGTTCCACAAGAGCATCTGCGTGGCCTATGCAGATCATCTTAGAGCCAACGCCAAGCTGGATAACGCCAGCCTCATGTATGAGCGTGGCGGTCAGTTGCAACAGGCATTGCGCAGCGCCAAGCACACTCTCGACTGGCAACGCGTGCTGGTGCTGGCAAAAAACTGGGCGAACCTCTGGATCAGGTGGCCCAGTCGTTGGTTGGACCGCTGCAACAGCAGGGCCGCCATATGGAAGCTTATGAGCTGGCAAAGGAGCACGGCGGGGATCGTGAGCGGCAGTTGGAAGTGCTGCTGGATGGTCATCTCTACAGTAGAGCCATTTACGAGGCGGGCCTAGAGGAGGGTAATGCCCTGGGTGAGTCTATCATGTGGTGAGATTGATTAAAATATTAACTACTTTTCTTTTAGCAGAGAAAATTGCTCCCGCCTTGCTAGCCTATGGTGCTCAATTGCAAAACTCATTGCACGCCGACCTGCAGCTGTTCCTGGAGTACAAGCAGCGCTTGTTGGACATCCGCCAGAGACAGGCAAAGTACGGCGAGGGGGATAACGATGCGGATGTGGATCTGGAGGAGGTGGACCTGCTCTCGGACACCACCAGCATGCACTCCTCGCGATACAGCGGCACCTCACGAGGCACCGGGTAATCCAAGGGATGCTTCACTGCACCAGGCCAGAGTTTCACTTTTCCACTGTGTTCCTCCTTTCCAGCAAGACATTCCGCTCAAGCAAAAACCGACGCAAGCACGAACGCAAGCTGCTCAGCCTGAAGCCGGGCAACCCCTTCGAAGACATCGCGCTCATCGATGCGCTGCACAACCACGTCACGAAGATAGCCCAGCAGCAGCTGTCTGTGCGTGATACATGCAAAGCGTTGCTACAGCTCGCCAGCGCGGCGGATGCGGATCCCCTGGCGGCGGCACTGCAGCGTGAATTCAAGACTCTGCTGCAGGCGGTGGAGGCGGCGCTGGACGAGATCTGGACGCCTGAGCTGGTGGGCAGTGGATCGATGGCGCAGCACCTCACGGGACCCAACGTTGACTATCTAGCGCTGCAGAAGGAGCAGCGATACGCTTTGATAAGTGGGTGTTACATGCTAATTTGATTCAATTTTTTGGAATCGGTTCAACTTTTACTTTCAAATTGGCTTGGTTTACTCATTTTATTATTTCAATATTAATAGTAACCCTGCAGAGTTTTACAAATCCGTCTCACAACTCAACAGATGCATATAACTCTACACATTAACCAAATTCCTGTAGACTCGAAATCTCTCGTTTTGGACTTCATTTACTTTAATTTAATATTTTATTTTTCAGGTCCTCTGAAGCGCTTCAAGCCGCAACTGAATCTGATGGACTGGCAGCACGAGATCCTCCAGTGAGTCATCATCGGATGGATCATTGGATTTGCGTGCAGCTCTCATCCTCCTCCGATCTGTAATCGCCTCACCCATCCATCTGTTTACTTTCACTGCTCTGGAAATAAATGTAGCATTGAAATGCAAATTGAATGTATTGAGATTAAACAAAACGGAGCGCAGTGGGTAGATCAGTGCCAGTCCAGTGTCTGACAGCTGGCAAAAGTGGGCGGTTCATCTCCCAATTCGTGTTTGATTTAAAGCTATCACTTTTATTAGGGGGCGTCGGCTTTTACTTATCATTTCACTGAGCTACGCCCTTTATATTCGAATTTCATGAAGGAAAACATATTTCCTGATAACTTCCTGTTGCCGTTGCAGTCAAGCGATTTGTTTGCCAAAGAAAAACCGTAGACGGTTGAAACCGGTTTCACCTGTCCGGGATTGTTGTGGGCGCCCATTGTTGCCAGGTAGATGTGATGAAACATTGGGTCAAAATCGTTCTTAGTTGAGATTAATGCCTTGCTGTTTGAATTGGAATACAAATTGCTCTAATTTAAACAGCAATCATGACTAATATATATTTTTTAAGAAGTTGTCGTCATTCATTGAAACGCGATTTATTTATAAATCGCTGCCCATTCAGAAAATTTTTCAATTTTACAGATTACCAATATTTTAGAATGTTAATTTAAAGAGGGTGGACTTTATTATACCCGTTACTCGTAGAGTAAAAGGGTATTCTAGATTCGTCGGAAAGTATTTAACAGGCAGAAGGAAGCGTTTCCGACCCCATAAAGTGTATATATTCTTGATCAGGATCACTAGCCGAGTCGATCTAGCCATGTCCGTCTGTCTGTCCGGATGAACGCTGAGATCTCGGAAACTATGGGAGCTAGGCTATTGAGATTTGGCGTGCAGATTCCTGAGCTTTTCACGCAGCGCAAGTTTGTTTCAGTAGAGTGCCACGCCCACAAACCCGCCCAAAACTGTGGCTCCTACAGTTTTGATGCTAGAATAAAAATTTTAAGTGAAATGTAATGTTCTCATCAATACCTATCGATTGGTCCAAAAAATTTGCCATGCCCACTCTAACGCCCATAATGCCTAAATCTGTCTACCGCCCACATAACCATATATTGAAATCGCACTTCTCTGTTAAGGCGCTGTTAACGAAAGTCTCTACTGGACATGCGCAGCATGGCTGCAACTGAGTATGGTGAGTTTCGCTTATCACCATTCGTTTCGCCGCGACTTCTATTTGAATTCGTCGCGGTTCGGTTCGCCAGTAGCGGCGAGCGGCGCTCCACCACAGTGGGGAGAACAGCTCGAAATTATTAAACAAAAACCGCCAACGAGTCGGACGTGTGCGCTGCTGGATGCTGGCGCTCTTTTCGCGTACCGTTTTTTCGATTAAACAAACACACACGAAATAAAAATTGTTAACACAATTTTGTCTGTTCTATTGTGCGGAAATCGAGTGAGTGCGAGGGGAGACAAACAGAAACCGCAACAGGCAAAATCAACAAAAAGCGTGTGGGCAGAGGAAAACGAAAGGGGAAACTGTGGCTGTGTGTGTGTGTCAGTGAAATATGGAAATTGAAAATGCAATTAATCGCGCTTTAATGGCAAGCCATAGAAATCGCTCAACGGTTTAGAGTGCAAGAGAAAAGTGCGGTCTTTGTTATTGTTGTCAACACGGAAGGCCTAAAGCCAAAAGTCTGGAAAAATATATCTACGTGTGTTTGTTTTTTGTTTTTGGAACAACAATGAGCCATTAGCGAAGTGCTGAAATAGTCAATTTACAATTGGAGCCGCCGAGAAGTCTATATATAAAATATAAACATTTTGGTAAGTCTAGCTTAGTCTCTTTTTCTCTCTTCCCGCTCTTTACACAGAAAGAAAAGAGGGATCCATTTGAAAATAATAGCGAAACATATTTTTTTGACTCAGATATTAAAATTTAGATTTGATTGGGTATAAACTTTAAAGCTTTACCTAATATAATGAAAAAATTTTTAATTTTTTTGACAGTGGTGGGAATTGAACAGATGCTCTTCTACTATGTTTTTGTTTAAAAATTCTAGAACTAGTCACGGATCGCGGTAAAATGAGAGCTTATATAGTCCGATGTCTAGTCATCATATTAAAAAAAATATTCTAAATTTTGATATAGTATGTCAAATGTCAAAATCTATTTTTTCTGTGCACTTTCCGCTGAGAGTGGAGAGCTCAACTCAGTGGTCAAACCCGCAAAACGACTTTCAACATCATTTGCTCCTTGTGGTTGTTGCTATTTCGGTAGTAGTTGTTGTTGTTCTTTTTGCTGTAGCAGCTTTGTTGTATTTTGTTTTTCTACTTCTGAGTTGCTGGTGTTTTTTATTTAATTACGCTATTGTTATAATCATATTTGGTTTTTGTGCGCACTTACTTAATTTTCGCACATGTGGAAATGCTGGCAATTATTTGTATTAAATATGCCATAATATTTGTCCACTGTGAAACGTGGAACATTTCGCGAACAATTGTTTCCCAATCGTAAAACAGGAAAAACGAAAAATTTAATTTACGGTTTTCACTTGAGGCATTAGGTAAAACAATATACCAAATTGAATTTTAAGTGAAGTCGACGAAATCTGTTTCTGAAGTACACACCCAATTTAATATGGAATTTTTAAATTTACTCAACAGTTTTGTAGAGCCATATTATTGTATTACACTTGGCATTTGTAATGTATTTTAAACTGAAGCGATTATTGAAATAAACTAAAAATAGGACTGAGCAATAAATTTAACAATCTTTCAGTCAAGTCTGAAGTTTCAAACTGCAGGCTGAATGTAGATAGATTTTTTTAAAGGTTACTAAATCTTCTGAGATTATTTTGACTTGCATCAATCAAAGCCTTTCAATTATTTTTTATTTAAGTCAGACCTAAATGGTAATTATTAAAAGTGTTATTATAACAGCCCGTCATTAGGTAAATGGAAATATAAAAAACGTTTTTTGTTACTTAACATTTTGGAGAGCTGAAAAAAATGAATTTAGCACGTTCGCCCCTGCAGTTTGGCCGTAAAAAACAGCACTTTTAAACGGCCCGTTTCAATGCCAATGGCATAACTGCCAAGAAACTCGGGTTTCAATCTTCTCGCCACCTGCATATTGCAGCAAACTCCAGCGATGCGTTAACGAGGGACCTCAAAACTAAGCGATCCATTCAAGCCGCCTTAGAACAATCCCAATCCCATCTCATTCACCATCGAAAGCTGCCGACGAAGGCCGCAGACAGCAATTTAATTAGAGGTTAGTTAGCCAACAATAGTGGCAACTACAGATTGCAGATGGCAGCTTGGAAGTTGCAACTGGCAAGTTGCAACCGCAGAACAAATGCGATGGCAAAGACGTTTTGAATGCATTATGCATGTGCGAACGGGCAGCATAAATCGCAGGGTAATGGGCCTGGGCTAATAAAGAAGCGTTTTGAATGCCAAATGAGTCGACTCGACGAGGATGACGAAACATAAGTGATTTTGAAACGAAGGAGGGGCAGTGCATAAAGTGCACAGAGAAAAATATCACTATAACTAATCATGAACCTTAAAACAGATCGAACTTATTCAGTGGGATGACATAAATAATAACAATATGGGGGATATGATGTGTGGTATACCAAAGGATTTTGAAAGAATTATTTCCGTAATAGATGATGTTATAAGTATTAGCATAGGCAATAAATATATTAATATAATAATATTATAATACATATCTATAGAATGTTAATTATAGTTTTGTTTTCTGTGTAACTTCCGTGGAATGTGGTTGGCAAGAATGGAGGAAACCGGTCTCCTGCCGGTGCCCTATTGGATTGGCTTGGCCTGGCCCGAGCTGATAGCGAAGGTCTCGAGGTCTTCGACAGAGACGGAAAGAAAGAGAGCCATTACCAGAGCCAGTGGAGATCGCTCTATGAGTCACGTTCGGAGCCAGCTTCGAGACGTGCCTGCTTGTCTTCGGCGGGATAGCAGTTGAGAATAGAGAATAGAGTTACTTGGCACCCAGTGCATAGTTATGCCGACATTGCGATAATGAAAATCTTGGAAAACGAAGCGAGTTCCGATTGCCGGGGGAAATCCTCTTGTCGTGCATTTCTGGCACGTACCTCTGGGATCCGATCCCGCTCTTATCACCTTTTAGATATGCTAAGATGCTTCGATCATCACTTTATTGATAGAGAATAATACTGTACAAATTAATAGTTAAGTTAATAATCCGAACAACTCATGTTCAGGGAATTTCCTACATAAATAAACTTATTGAATCGGACATCTTATTTATAGAACCATTTCCTTTTATGATCGTGCCAGTTGTGAAATTCTTGAAATTAATTATAGATTAAGGCGAGAAAAAAGTGTTTGATCTGTATGCGAATAATGTTATAAAAACTCTGTTGATTAAGAAAAATACAGAAGAACTGAGGAGCTTAAGTCCACATAAGACATCTCAGATCTGACCATCCACTGAGGTTCTCGCTCCACTTTCTCGCTCTTGTCCCCAATGCATCTCACTTCTTGTCGAGTGGTAATTACACACCTTGATGACTCAAAATCTGTCATTAAGGCAAAACTGCAGTTCAGTGGGTAACACACATATGGATCCCAACCCCTCAACCGTCCATGAACCACCTCCTCTTCCGTCTTCCGCAATTTCATGGAGAAAAAACATAGAGAATACGACAAACAACTTGCCCTGTAAACTCAGAGACCTGACCTATGAGCTTTGTCTTTAGCATTCGCATTTAGTACTGTCGGGTTCTCCATTCTGCTTTGTTTTTTTTGTCGGTTTTCTTCCATTGTTTCCACGTTTATCTCGCTTTTGGGGCCAACAGTTTTGTTTCGATTTGTGCGGTTTTATTTTTGGACCCACCTTGGAAACTCGTTCTGGCAATCGGAGAATGGAAAATACTCACAGTTTCCACAACAAACACAATAAATTACATTAGTTAGGACCAATATAAGGTTATAGACTCGATTCCCTGCTGTGGGCGTCGAATTGAGTTACTCAACTGAAAAGTCTTTGACTCTTGGCATTATTCTTCACTTTTCACCCACTCTTCCGACTTGAGCCGGCTTAATTAAATTAAAACTTTAATTGTTTTGTTGACAGGTAGACTTCATGTCAATGAACCAGGTCTCAACTTTTGTGGCATCTCTAGAATAGGTTTGGGCTTTTTTATCAGTTGATTTCCTCTCTGGACAGTTGCTATATATAGTTTTAGTGCTGCTCTCTCTTTTAGTATCGCTATTGTAATATTAATTCAATTCTAGACACTTGTCGAGTGAACAATCGCCAAACACTTGGGCACTGATTGAACTTAATTGAATTAAGAGCAGTTCGCCAGTTACATCTTCACTTGGGTCAGGCGAGCAGGAAGTCAACCTTGTGATAGGTATTACAGTGGTCCCTAAATTAAGAGGGTCTGTTGAAATTCCATTAACTATTATTATATATTTGGTAATTTTTTATCTCTGTTAAAGCTAAAAATATTGAAAGTATCTGTTGTTCAATAAACACACCTTATAAAGAGCATGATAAATAACCCACTATATTTCTTCTGATCAGCCCCTGTCACTCGTAAGAGTTGGCAATTTATAGAGTAGCTCAAGGCAGCCTGTGAACTAGTTTCGCCTGCTTTTCATACAACTTGAAAGCCATTTAGTTGACTTCGGGCTTCTTTTGGCATTTCCTCCACATAACATAACCACAGATGTTGCCTCAAATGGGAGCATATGTGTGTTATTTATGTGGTTATTTGCCTGTGTATGCCCTACCACCTTATGCATTCTTAATACCGCCCCTTGCTTTTGTTTTTGTTTACTATTCGGGCCTGAAAAATGTTTGCAGGTGCAATGCATTCGCCGTTTGTTTACGCTACTTACGTATCCGAAAGATACACAAAGCTAGTGCCATATTTCATCATTTGGATGCCTCGGGCATCTTTCGGATGCATTTCGTATGCAAAGAGTGTTTCAATCATTCAACTGCTTTGCATACCAAATACTACAAATGTTTAACCTTTTTTGCTGCAATTTAGCAAATGATTTCTGGGGTTTTTCTGGGCATTACTTGTTTTGTGCTCCGCTACACAAGTTCTCGCTAAAGAAAACCTGTTTCTCCGATTCTTTGGGCTTGGGTCCGGTTAGCAGCGCAATCGTATTTGACGTACTTTGTTTTATGAAATGCCAATGAATTTATATGGTTTCGATTATAAGCAACTTCACCATCGAATTAGCACTTAGCAAACGACGCAACAAATAATATTGCGCACTTATGGATGCGAATTTATGGGAATGTTAACGCCCTTCCATCTGGAGCGGTTCCATAATCTCCTGTCTGCCCTTCGAATCCCTGTCTGAATTTCTGGTTAACAAAGGTGTGTTAATAAATTATCCCAACAGACCTTGAACCCGGGTGTTTGCAATAAATATTGCACACTGTCTTCAATTAGCACGCAGCTTGGCAATGGGAGATTCGCGTGTTCAAACGAGGAAACCCCGAAAAAACTTTGACCCAAAAAGAAGAAGGTAAAATCCCCCATATGTAATACACTATTATATTATTATAGAAAAAATATCACCTAATGTGTAATCAAAATACAATAAAATAACCTACCTTGACACGAAAATCACAATTTGATTTAATTGAATACATAGCCAATTATCATTTGTTCGGGACATTTTCTTTCTGTGCAGTGACAAAGAGTCGGGGAAAGTGTCTGGCTAATTTGTGAAAAGTAATAACATTAAGCCAAAAGAAAAAGTGCCAAAAAAAAACGTGTAATTGTATCGGGGAGCGTGGG